TCTCAATGAGATCACTGTCAAGAACAGGGCACCACTGCCCCTCATCGAGGAGCAGCTGTTCCTACTCAGGAAGGCAAGGATCTATACCAAGTTAGACCTTAGAGCAGCATACAACCTCATCCGGATTGCTAAAGGAGATGAATGGAAGACAGCTTTTGGCACTCAGTTGGGACTCTATGAGTACCTAGTGATGCCCTTTGGCCTAGCCAATGCTCCAGCTCACTTCCAGTCATTCATCAACAACATCTTCCGAGACATCATTAGAGTATATGTAGTGGTATACCTAGATGACTTCCTGATCTTCAGTGACACTGAAGAGGTACATGTGAAGCATGTCACCGAGGTCCTCACTTGCTTAAGGAGCAACAGGCTCTTTGCTAAGCTGTCGAAGTGTGAGTTCCACACCAAGACAGTCAAGTTCCTGGGGTACATCATCAAGCCAATGGGCATAGAGATGGACCCAGAAAAGGTGTGCACTGTCAAGGAGTGGCCAATGCCAGAGTCAATCCATGACATCCAGAGGTTCCTGGGTTTTGCCAACTTCTATCGAAGGTTCATAGCCCACTTTGCTCGCATAGCCAAGCCCTTGACAGCACTGGTAAAGCCTATAGAACGGTTCAAGAAGTTCGAGCTACCAGAGGAGGCCCAACAGGCCTTCCACAAGCTCATCCAGGCCTTCACATCAGCAGGAGTGCTTCAGCACTTCGACTACCACCTTCCAACAAGGTTGGAGACCGATGCAAGTGACTTTGCTATAGCAGGAGTACTCAAGCAGGAGCATGAAGGACGATGGCACCCAGTAGCATTCTACTCTAGGAAGATGTCTTCTGCTGAGAAGAACTATGAGATCCATGACAAGGAGCTCTTAGCTGTGGTCGCTTGCCTTACTCAGTGGCGACACATGCTAGCTGGACTACCAAGTCAACTGGTCATCCTCACCAACCATGAAGCCCTCAAGTACTTCAAGTCACAGAGACGCATCACAGGTCGACAGGCTCAATGGGTAATACTACTAGCAGACTTTGACTTCATATTGCAGTATCAACCAGGAGACAAAGGTGGTGAACCTGATGCTCTCACCAGAAGGACAGACATGCAACCAGCTGGTGAAGAGCAGGATCACAATGTGAGGCAACTACTGCCTCCTCGAGTGTTCAAGGAGACAGCAGACCATGACTTGATCCTAGTGGCCCCTATGATCTTGATGGAGTCCATAGCATCAAAAGGTCTCAGAGACCTGGTCAAGATCTTCCAGCCCTTAGACCAAGAGCTACAGGAGATACATATGAAGAAGCCCTTCAAGGTCAAGGACAACCTATGGTACAGTGGAGGAAGATTGGTTATCCCCAAAGTGATCATGCCAGGGAGGACCAACAACCAACACTCAAGGAGTGCCAAAGAGGTAGATGGACAGTCTCTCTCTGTAGAGCACCTGCGATTCATGGTGATGACTCAATGCCATGATGGCATCACTGCTGGACATGTAGGAAGAGATGCTACCATCAAGGCAGCCCAACAACATTACTGGTGGCCAAACATGACAGCTTGGATTGCAGACTATGTAGCAAGTTGTCCTGTATGTGCTAGGTACAAAGCTCCTCATCACCATCCATATGGTTTGCTACAGCCACTAGCAACACCAGACAGGCCCTGGGGCTCCATATCCCTCGACTTCATTGAAGGATTACCACCATCAAGGAGCTATGACTCCATCCTCATCATTGTCGACAGACTGACCAAGTTTGCCATACTAGCTCCAACCCATAAGACAGTCATGGCCAAACAGACTGCAGTGTTGCTATATGGACACATGGTTAGACTCTTCGGATACCCAGATCACATGGTCTTGGACCAAGGCAGGCAGTTCATATCAGGAGCATGGAAGGCATTCACAGAACAAATGGGTGTGAAGCACTCCCTTAGCACAGCTTACCATCCTCAAACTGATGGTCAGACAGAGAGGGTCAATCAGGTCATAGAGCAGTACCTAAGGATGTACTGCAACTATGAGCAGAATGACTGGGCCAACCTGCTGGACACTGCAGCCTTTGTATACAACAACATGGTCCACAACAGCATTGGTGTCTCACCATTCTTTGCATGCTATGGATGGAACCCCAAAGCTCATCCTGACATCCCTCAACAACTAGGAGTCAATGATCCAGGTCGCTTCGAGTACCTCATGGATGGAAAGGAGCATTACAAGTACCTCCAGGAGCAGATCAGAGAGGCACAACATAGATCAGTAGACCAGTATAACAGGAAGCACAAGGACATCGAGTTCAAGGTGGGTGATATGGTCTATATCAACCGACGAAACTGGAAGACAAGGAGACCCACACCCAAGTTAGACACCCGGTTCGCAGGACCCTACCCAGTTCAGGAACGGGTAGGACGCCGAGCTTATCGAATCACATTGCCAGCAAACCTTAGGGTGCATGATGTGTTCCATGTCTCCATGCTCGAGCCAGCAAGAACAAGTTCTCTTCCTCAACATGCTGAACAGCCCACCATACCATCACTTCCAGATGAGGACCTCGATTTCGAAGTCGAAGCACTCATCGACAAGCGTTCACACAATGGGACTACGGAGTACAAGGTGTTGTGGAGAGGGTACTCAGAGGAAGCTGCTTCATGGGAACCAGTAGAGAACCTCAACTGTCCCGACCTCATCCAGGAGTATGAGGTGTCGGAGGGGGGACGAGTGAGTAGACAGAGTGGAGAGAGGAGGAGAGAACAGGAGGAGTAGAGAGAGGAAGAGGAAGGAGGATGACGTTGAGAGAAGGAGGAAGGATGATGTTGGCGATGTTGTCAAGGAGGAGGAGTCAAGTGAGTAGACAGAGTGGAGAGAGGAGGAGAGAACAGGAGGAGTAGAGAGAGGAAGAGAAGGAGGATGACGTTGAGAGAAGGAGGAAGGGTGATGTTGGCGATGTTGCCGAGGAGGAGGAGGAGGAGGAGGAGGAGTCAGCATGAACCAGACCAGAGCATGCCTCGACGGAGCTCGGCTCTTAAGAGGGGGGTAGTGTCATGGGCCTGAATGCTCAAGAAGCAGGAGGGTCACTGGTTCATATGGAAGGAGCACAAGCATCGAAGATCTAGTCGATACCATTAGAGAGCATGGTCGTAGTGCAGTCTCCATGGAGACCATGGACTCCTATGGACTCACATGCAAAGGAGGATGAGCCATATGCGAGGAGGGCCAGGCACAGCCATGAGGAGGACCAAGCTCAAGGAGCAGGCACAGCCATGAAGAGGACCAAGCTCAAGGAGCATGCAGATGGTTACCACTCAGGGGCTCAAGAGACAAGAGTCAAAGGAACTGACACCAGGTCCTGAGGAGGAGGAGCAGTGTCGAAGGAGTTGACACCACTCAGGAGGCACAAGGGTGCCAAACAAGTAGGATAGCAAGGAGGAGGAGCAGTGTCGAAGGAGTCGACACAGCTCAAGAGGCACAGGGGTGCCAAGCAAGCAGGAGAGACCCCCTGAACAGTACTTGATGAAGAAGGTACTCTCTGGAGAGAGAGCAGGAGCAGCATTGCTGGTGATGCTGTGAAGAGGTATATAACCATGCTTTCTCATCATCAAAGGTCAAGTGGATCCTCATCCACTCTACTCACCATACAACTAGTCAATACTTTAGAAACATAAGTACTCATTAGTTTTCAGTCAGCATAGCAGCAATCTATCAAGGTTGCTCCTCATTGTAGTGTGTGTGTGTTGTATCACCACTACCTGATGTCCGAAGGTGCCCCATAGCAGGTTAGCAGTCTGGATATAGATAGAACCGAAGGCAGTAGTCCACTGTGGTCCGGGGATCACCTCAAGCATCAGTCAACACACTGGACACTCATGTTGATGCCACCAACCTTATCACCAACACCATCAACCTCATCATCATCAACACTTACACCAGACCTTGGTGTCATCATAACCTACACATTGATATTGATCGTGCCAAGCTACCCCTGAACAGAGTGTCCACAGAGGTCAGCCAAAACCTACAATAGTATATACAATGAATGCCACCTGCTGTCACTGCACAACTTGATAGTCACTGAATGACTAGCTCGATGAGACAGATACTGAGACAATAGCTGTCACACAGTTTGATAGTCACCAAGTATCTCGACAGACCAACCTGGGTTTCAGGCATGAGACCCCTGACAGTAGTACTACAGCCACAGCACAGGTGGAACGAGGATGGGGGCAATCACCTCGGCTGGCTCAATTTTCACTATACTTTCACACTTCACTCATCATTAGTAAGCAAAATATGTTATATTCCTCTTAAAAACATGCCAACACCCAACTGCTACTGATGGAAAAGGGCCTTGGTCAGTGTCCACACCCTACATCAACTTTGCTTAACCTTGTTTAAAACTCAGCTGGACTTTGAGGTCCTTACCATGGCCGAGTCCGGCGTGGACGTTGCTACCAAAACCTCACTATTTGCTGGGAGGAAGTGAAGTGGTGCAAGCTTGTGACGTTCATACACTCTGGCAAAAAGCACACCATGTTGTAAAGTCTCGATCTCACAATATGACAATGTTTTCTCTGCCTCAACACAACTCACGCGATTTCATTTTTATTTATTTTATTTTTATTTCTTTGGCTTGAGTTCTGCGCTTAGCCCGCTCGGACCCGTTTCGCTCGAGCGTTGCTGCATCCGTAAGAAGAGCGCAAATCTCACTTTGAAAACTCCTTCCAAAGGGTCCGACGACGACGACGAAGCAGCATCTTTGAAGACGACATAGCAGTAAAATCGTCTGCAGGTGTCTGCAAGTATCGTCGAGACAGCGCCGCCACACAATCCATCACCAAAACCGGTTTGAACCTCTTCATCACTCACCACAGCATCGACACAGCATCGACACATCAACATCAGCGACCGACAGCAATAGACCTTGTTCCTCAGTCCTACATCCACCTTCCGTGCGCCATTCGCAGAACCTTTCGCCCTGCTTACATACTGACAGCAGCCGGCATCACTACCGCACAGAATGGCTCACCTCGCTGCTCACTTTGAGCCACCCGAGGAACGTCAATCCGGCTCAAGTGGTTCACCAGCAACCCATCCCTACGTGGTCGACCAGAGCTCTCGGTCATCTTCATCTAGCCGCCAACAACAGCAACAGCAGCAAACACAACATGCTTTCTCACAGATGACAGCCTCTGGCAACCTGGTCTGCAGCACAAGCTCAGTCGCTTACCTTTCCAACAATGGGTCTCTGCGCAACACATTTGCTTCCACAGAACAAGTCGATGACGTCGACCCGCAACAGCTCGCTACGGAAGCCGAAGAGGAAGATGACGCCTCCACAGCCAGCGGCAGACGCCACGGTGCGCTTCTTGTCGAAGAGGTCAACGAATGGATGTTGCAACACTCTTTCTTTCATTGGGGTCTCAAACGCCATCTCACGCACGGCAACCCTAAGCCGAGAGACGAACGAGACCTCCCAGATTGGCGAATGCGCGAACGTTTACGAACGGTCACCGCCGCACTTGTCATGTGTCTCAACATCGGAGTCGATCCGCCTGACGTTTCCAAGACCAACCCGTGTTCCAAGTTGATCTGCTGGATGGACCCTAGCTCGCTCGAAGTGTCCAAAGCGCTCCCTGCTATTGGCCGCAATCTGCAAGCACAGTTCGAGACGCTCAGCACAAAGACTCGATACAAGCAATACCTTGACCCTATCGTAGAAGAGACCAGACGCTTCTGCACAACTCTGCGAAGAGCTGCCAAGGATGAACGTGTGCTTTTCTACTACAACGGCTATGGTGTGCCCAAGCCCACGCCAGGTGGAGAGATTTGGGTCTTCAACAAGGCCTATACGCAGTATATCCCAGTCACTCTGTACGACCTTTTGACGTGGCTCGGAAGCCCGTGTATCTTTGTTTGGGACGCTAGTGCGGCTGGTAACGTCGTGGCCAACTTCAAGCGTTTGCAAGAGAGGAAGGCGGAGGAAGAGGCTGCAAGATCCAGTCGCGATAGGGAAGCTCAACATCGGTCAGGAGATCGCGATCGTTCCAAGGCAGCTGATGCCTCTTCATCCTCGGCAAACAAGTCAGGTGCACAGTCAACATCATCGACAGACGAGTCGCACTTCCCCTTGCGCGAGTCGATCCATCTCGCAGCATGCGGACCCGACGAAGTGCTACCCATGAACCCAGATCTTCCGGCTGATCTTTTCACCTGCTGTTTGACATCGCCCATCGAGATTTCGCTCCGCTGGTTCGTCCTCCAAAACCCACTACCATCCAAGCTCAACGTCGACATGGTCATGAACATCCCAGGCCGTTTGCAAGATCGAAGAACACCGTTGGGTGAGCTCAACTGGATCTTCACCGCCATCACCGATACCATCGCATGGACTGTCTTACCTCGCGCCATTTTCCGCCGTCTCTTCCGTGACGATCTGATGGTGGCTGCGCTTCTTCGCAACTTCTTGCTTGCGGAACGCATCATGCGCTTCTACCATTGCACACCGATGAGTCATCCCAAGCTTCCGCCAACACATAACCATCCACTTTGGGACAGTTGGGATCTCGCTGTGGACCAATGTCTTGCTCAGTTGCCGACACTGCTTGCGAAGGAACGCGCTCAGGCCGAGGCTGCGGAGGGTGGGCCGCCAGTCCCTCCTCATCTCGCTTCATTCGAGTACCGACACAGCACGTTCTTCAGCGAGCAGCTCAAGGCTTTCGAAGTCTGGCTGCAGCAGGGTGGGGTGAGTCGAAAGGGTAGAAGACGTCGTGTCAATGCGGCGATCACACCTCATGGCAATCCATCGGCAGGTCTGTCTTCCGCTGCGACGGGTGCTGATCCGGAAGCGTTCGATGACGACGGCGATGTCAGCCCTGTTCGTGAACCACCTGATCAGCTGCCCATCGTTCTGCAAGTGCTGCTGTCTCAAGCGCATCGTCTGCGAGCACTCATCCTGCTCAGTCAGTTCCTCGATCTAGGCCCATGGGCGGTTAATATGGCTCTCAGCATCGGTATCTTCCCTTACGTGCTTAAGCTTCTGCAAAGTCCGGCTGCCGACCTCAAACCTGTGCTCATCTACATCTGGGCTCGAATTCTCGCAGTTGACCGCAGCTGTCAAAACGACTTGTTGAGGGACAATGGCTTCATCTACTTTGCAGGTGTGCTCAGTCCTTTCCAGAACAATAATGTCGGTCAGAACGCTGGCGTCAATGGTCCTTCCATTCCAATTCCTAACGTTTCGGAGCACCAAGCAATGTGTGCCTTCATTCTTGCAGTCTTCTGCCAGGACTTCCCCGCCGGACAAGCTGCATGTCTGGATACCGATGTCATGCACTCGTGCCTCGAGCATCTGGAAGATGATGACTTTTTGCTGCGGCAGTGGAGCGCGCTCTGTCTTGCGCAGTTGTGGGATGATAACGAGGCAGGTAAGGCTCGAGCTATCTCGCTTGATGCTCATGGGAAACTTTGCTGTATGCTCGGTGATGTTTCTCCAGAGGTAAGGGCAGCTGTGCTTCATGCTCTAGGAACTTTGCTCGGCGCTAGTGGATCGAGTCAGGATCAGGTCGATATTGTGTCGTATGCCACCGACGAGCCTATTCCGGCACCGACTGGCAGCAACGGTAACCGTCCAGCCGGAGGAAGACGCTTTTGCCCTGGTACCGGTGCTGCAACAGGCCTGCCACCGACCAAGCAGAGAGGTCTCGAGATCGGTATCGCAACCGCCATGCTCACTACCAAAGGTGACTGCAGTCCTTTGGTGCGCAAGGAACTTGTTATTGCGCTTAGTCCTGTCGTGGCTGAGTACAAGGGCTTCTTTGTGCTTGCTGCCTACTTGTACTATTCACGAGAAGGAACTCTGCAGAATCCGCCTTTGCAGCAAGAGCGAAAGTCGGCAGCGTCTCGAGCTAAGGCAGCACAGTCGTCAACTACTGATGACAGTAGAGGCTCGCTTAGGTCCACAGGTCGAATGCCTTCTAGCAGCAACGTCGCTGGACCTTCACCGAGCGCACTAGCGATGGAAGAAGCATTGCTTGCACGTCTCGCTTCGAAGCTGCTCATCGAGGAAGAGATTGAGGAGGAAGATATTGCCAACATCCCTGCGTTCGCCACTATCTTTGTTGCACTGCTCGATTTGAGTGTCGACTCGAACCCCGAGGTCGCCAACCTTGCCTGCACAGTCGTCGACTTTATCATCGCCTTGCTGCTCGAGAGCGATGTTTCGAGTGCTGGAGAGAGTGTTTTGCGAGGCTTTGACACTGCAGAGGCGATCACGCGGTTCACGACGCCCACCAGCACAGATGCTGGTCTGGAGGGGTACTTCCCGTTTACGCCTCGATCAACTGGGACAACGCCGGGTTCGACAGATGAGATGTCGACTTCGCAGATTGCTGCGTTGAACGGTGCATATGTTCCGCCATCTGGGTTTGGAACTGGTGGTTCTGGACCCGCCCGACCAGGGCAGGTGGCTCGCACGCAGTCTCATACTGCTCCGAAGCGCTCTTCGACGCTGGCTCAGGCGGTGAAGACGCTTGCTACGCTCGGATACTCTCGTCCTGCATCGCCTGTGGGGTCAGACCATGATACTATGGGTAGACCTTTATACGGCGAGGCAGGTCCTTCGGGAATTCCGCCTCCTGGTCCTGCAGTGTTGGCGCCTCGCCGCAGCCCGGGTACGAAAGCAGCAGCTGCTCAGTACAATTCTCCCTACCTCTCGAAAGGGGCTCCGACAACACCCTCCCTCGAACCGCCTTCCGCTGCTTCGATGCCTTCTTCGCCGCTGAATGCAGTCGCCAAGCTCAGCGATCGATCGCAAAGCGCCGAGAGTCTGTCGTACATCAACGGACGAGGCGATCGTAGGAAGCCAAGTGGACAGTACGCCAATGGTAATGGAAGCGGCAATCCGCTAGACGGTAGTATCGAGCATGCAAATGGCGGTGGCCACGAGCAGCAGAGGTTCTATGGTGACGAATTGGAGACCGATCCGCATGTTGCCGTTGATGACCATGTCAAGGTCGGTGATGCGCTTGCTGGGTTGATTGCGATGGACATGTACCGCTTCCGGTCGCGTTTCACGAGTAGTGCGGATGGGTCATCGCAGCACACGCCAGTTTCATCTCCTGCAGTCAGCCGTGCCAATCGATGGGGCTTCGTCCCCACTCCTGGCAGCAGTGGAGTCAGCACTCCCTCCGGCTCCATTGGCTCCGGAGGTGGCGCTAACAACGAGCTCCGTGACACCCTCCCCCTCAAAAGCCGCCTGTTCGCTTGGTGCAGCGAATACTACATCGAACCACAAATGAAGCAGGCCGAAAGCGAAGAACCGGGTAGTATCAAATACAACGTTCAACACTGGAAGAAACAGCGAAATTCCCGACTTACCGAACACTCGCTCGAAATTGCTGACTCCGCCGCTCAATCGCCTTGGACCGAACATGGAGGGTATATCCGCAATGGAGCTCTACCCTACCTGATGCTGTTCCATCAGTACGAGAACCATCTTGTGACAGCGAGCGATCAGGATACAGTCGCGGTATGGGATTGGGAAGAAAAGCGTCTCCTCAGCCGGTTTGCTAATGGTAACCCCGCAAGGACGAACATCACCTCTGCGCTGTTTATCAATGAGGATAGTGATGCGATGCTGTTGGTTGGTTCTGCGGAAGGAAATGTTAGGATTTATAGACATTATGATTCGCCAGCGCACACGGCAGGTTTTAGGGGACCGGAATTGGCGTCGTCTTTCCAAGCTTTGCCTGATTTGGTGAGGAGTAAGCGGCCAAGTGGATTGGTGGTGGATTGGTTGCAGGGTAGTGGGCATCTTTTGGCAGGTGGTGATAGCAGGGTGATCAGGGTATGGGATGCTCATCGGGAGCTGTGCGTGGTTGATATTCCGACGAGGGCGAGTAGTTGTGTTACGTCCATCTCTTCAGAGTCGGACTTCGGGCATCTGTTTGTGGCTGGGTTCGGTGATGGTACTGTGGGGGTGTACGATAGGCGGAATCCACCAGAGGCGAGTTTGGTGCGATTGTGGGAAGAGCATCAGACTTGGGTTCAGAACGTTCATTTGCAGAAGAGGGGTTCGAGGGAACTGGTGACGGCAAGTGTGGATGGTGAGGTGAGGTTGTGGGATATGCGGGTGAGGTCGTCGATTGCGAGGTTGAGTATGGGTAGTAAGTTGGGTGGCAAGTTGTCGTGTATGGCGGTGCATGAAAGGGTGCCGTTGTTCGCGGTGTCTTCGGCGCCGAGACCGTTACGACCTAGTGCCAGTGCTCAGACGGTGTTGTTGACGCATTTGGAGATGCTTTCGACGTTGGGTAAGCCAATTGTACGCAACTTCGCACCAATGGGTTCAACGCAGCATTTGGGCAACAGCACTTTGTTGTACCCTCCCGAATCGGTCAATTCTGGAGTGGTCAACCACCACCACCATCATTTGCATCATCTACACCATCCTGGTGATCCTCACCACTTCAGCGGTATGGGTGGTTCTGGCATCCTTTCGCATCACAACACTCTTATCAGTGGCACAACCGGAGCTGGTGCAGGAAGCGGCAGCGGACACGGTCCACACCTAAATCCAACCAACCCTCTGCATACACTATTACCACCAGCAGTGGAGACGCCTCCATCGAGCTTCACCCCAGCTATGGGAAGTATGGCTTTCCATCCGCACTTGCCCATCTTGGCATTCGGTGGACCGGATACAATGATTGAGCTTAGGGAATGGCCTGATCCGAACTAAATTGCGCTCAGTATCAATCATATCAGCAGAATTCTTGTGTCATCTGCTTTGACTGCGGTTTCAATGCAGAAGTATTGCTTTCAACGATTGATCCAAGTATGTAGCGCGGTTAGCTTTGAGGCCTAAAACATACGTGGTGGAGAGGCAGAAAGAGTAGAGACTGAGACACAGGAAGAAAGAAAGGAGGATGGTAGAAATACAAGCTAGCGCCTAGCATTAATGCAAACAGAACAAGTTACAGCATGTGAGAGAAGGATCAGACCGAGATGGTCTTAAAAATATTAAAGCCATCCAAACTAGTGGTTGCCAACATGCCCGGAACCTGAGGATGCCAATGCAACTCTTTACAATCACTGACACCATGATGGCAGAACAGCAGTTGCGGAGGAACATCTTTCAACCCGACCTGTGCGCTCTGCTGTACTTCATCATCGTCCTGTTCCACACTCAAATCCCATAGTGTTACCTGATCATCACGACCAGAAGCAGCGAAGATCGAGTCTTCGGTAGGATGCCATTCGACCGAAGAGATGGGTGCTTTGTGCCAGTCGAAGTGTGCCACCGGGCTTGGAGCGGAGGATGAGTTTGGTTTGAAGTGTCGCAGATCCCATACCTTGAGTGAGCCTTCATCGCCACCGGATACGAGAAGGTAGTCTGTGCCACGGTTCCAGGAGATAACGTTTACATCTTGGGAGTGGGAATTTTCGACTGAGATGACGCTGCGACGATTTTTGACACGGACGTCCCAGACTCGGATGGAGCGATCGGCGGAACAGGATGCGAAGACGGTGGGTTCTTTGGGGGACCATTGGAGGTCTTCGACTGAGGAGGTGTGGGATGTGAAAGGGGTTGGGTTGGTGATGAAACCTGCATTGCCTGCGGTTGTGAGGAAGATTTTTGAGTGGATGTCACCGGTTAGGAGGCGGAGGGAAGAAGCTTTACCGCCAACGGTGGAGCCTCCGTTGACAACGCCTGCCCAGTCCATAGCGTATCCTTCGACACCATTGTGCGCTTTGACTGTGAACATCGGCGTGTTGACTTTGCGAGAATCGTAAGAGGCACCGGGACGATCGAGAGAGTTGAGCAAAGGACGAACATCGAAGATCTTTACATCGCCGACTTCGGACCATGCAGCGACAGGGTATGGGTCAAGGCAAGGCTCGAGGTCGGATACGGGAGTAGAGGTTGGTGCGGCACGGACACGGTTGATGCCGCCAACAACAGAAATGGACTTGTATTCTAGGATTGCGTCGTCGTCCAGATCGTTTTCGTCATCGTCTTCGTCGTCGGAGAGACCTACAAGCAGAGGTGAGAGATACAAAACAGCGAGCAATGCCAGTCAGTATCGCTGTCCAGTCTGTGCAATGCAGGTGTGAAGGCCGAAAGGAGATGAGGCCAATCAAGTGATGTGTGCGTGTATGGGGTTTGGCTCAGAAGTTAAAAATTAGGTAGCTGAGATAGTTTTCGGCATCGAATTGCAGCTGAGCCCCACAGGGGCAAGTTGCAACTCATACAGCCAAATGCCTCAAGACATCACTGCGGAATCCCAGAGCAACACCTCTTGATCGATCCTTGGGTGAGAGTTGGAACTTACCATCATCATTCTGAGTCTTGTGGAGGGAACTAGCCTTCATGACGAGGATCTCGTTTCTGGAGGCGGTATCAGCCTGGGTACCAGCAACCATGTAGGAAGTATGCGGATAGCTTTGGCGATCGTTGCCGAGGTGATCCTTGAGGTGGTCGAAAGAGAGACAGGGCCATGTGACGTTGAGACGGTGCAACATCTCGTATGCAGACTGATCAGCTTCGAGAGTTTGACCTTCTTCGAGCTTGGTAGCACCTGGAATGTAGACTTGTGCTTCGGGTTCCGCACCGTCTGCTTCGTCATCTTCGGGACGTTGAATCTTGCCGTCGACTTTCATGCCGTCAACTTGCATTGTCTCGCCGTCGTCGTCAGAATCGCGAGCTGCAATAACTGCTTCGGCGTCCTCCTCTTCGAATTCATCTTCGAATTGATCCTCGAACTCGCCCATGTCATCGTCGTCGTCAGCATCTTTGACGCGGTTGAGTTGTGATGTTGCATCGGCTCCGGTTCGTTGACGTTGACCGAGGGGAGAGGATGTGGAAGGAACGGCAGCGGCGGCCGACTTGCCTTCCAATGAAGGGGAGGAGGGACGCTTCGACATTGTGTGAGAGGTTGGTGGAGGATATGCAAGAGATAGGGAAGGGAAAGTAAGAATGCTATGAGAGAGAAGAGGTATACTACTGATGCAGAGAGGGGTATATTTGCGAGCCAAGCTAGGTAGCTGGATAGAAGAAGAGCGGAGGAAGAAGACGGACGGGCAAGTGACCCTTTTGAGGAGATCAGTCGAGGGCTTTGGCTCAAAAATTTCTTCCACAAAACTCCGAATCGGACCAAAAAGAAAAAGAAGAAAACTCGATTCCCTGCGGCTGGACAAAAAAAAAAAAAAAAAAAAAAAAAAAAAAAAAAAAAAAGAAAAAAGAAAAAAGAAAAAAAGGAAAGAAAAAGGCAACGGTCAGAGAATGCTGACTAATGAACACATCATCTTGGCTACTCGGACACGTTCTCGATTTTTTGGGTTCAGGATGTTAGTTTCTGAGCTAGGAGAGAGAGATAACCGGTAAGGTCGTCGTTCTTTTCCATCGAGGCGGCAACGCTGTCAGATGGTGCATTTCAGTTTACGAGAGAGTTCTGTCTGAATTGTCATCTCGGTCAGCCCAACACACACAGACAGAACAAGACAGACACTCCGGAGAAACGGCTGTGCAGTTGGCTCTGTGCGTGCGTGCATCAGCATTCACCATTCCCCTTCTCTTGCCAGCGACCTCTTCAGTGATCACCCGCACTCCCATCGCTACGTCATCTTGACTTTCAACCACCACCGTCGTCTCCGTCTAGGACCCAAGTAGGACCCGCACATTCGCAACTTCGCCGTAGGAAGCCCTTTCCAACACGGCCAACACTCTGTACATCGTCACAGGAACCATCGATGCAGTCTCCGTAATCATCAAGTCTAGCTACACACTCGGAGACGGGTCTTCAGCAACGCTACTCCGCGCTCGAACGGGATATCTTGCAGGCAATCAAGCGATCGCGCAACCATGTCGGGCTTTATCGCCTTCGTTCTGCTCATTACGGGCATGGGCGTGGGCACGCTCGTTTGCGGTCTACTCCCGCTTTCACTGTCATTATCGCACCGAATCATGCGCCTTCTCGAAGTCTTTGGAGCTGGTCTTCTTGTCGGTGCTGCTGTCACTGTCGTTATACCCGAGGGCTCGAGCGCTCTCTTCTCCAATGTCACTCCAGCCCCAGCAGGGCGCAGTACAAGCAGCAATGCGTTCGTCAATGTACTTCATCCACCAAGCGCTTTCAGCCCAGCAGCACCGATCCAAGCATTACAAGCAGGACAACAGGCCGGCCTTGCACAACAAGAGGGGTTGTGGGCTTGGTCATTCATCACAAAGCGATCCGAGGATGATCACGACCATGAGTCCGAGCATGACCATGATCACGACAACGAAAAGTCATTCACACAATCAGACGCAGAGCATCGTCTTGGGTCTAGCATTCTCCTTGGCATCGTCTTGATGTATGTCATTGATCAGTTCACTTCGGGTGCAAACAGCTCCTCTTCTACTGCCGGCAAAGCAGAAGACAACTCTTCGTCCGGCCATCACCACCACCACAACGAGTATCCGGCACCTCCACAACGGCCACGTCTCGAAACACATCGTCTCTCTAAATCCTTCCATCAGAAGACCGACCGCGCGTCAACCCCAAGTACCCTGCACAAGGTCAGCAGCAAAGCCTCATTCACCGTTTTTGATCGCGCACAGCACGGCATCACCGAGGACGATGAAGAGGCACGCATTGACACTGCTGATATCCAGGATGGCTCCACTCGCGACCCTCATCGTCGCATACACAGCACAGCCACCAGTTCAAGCAACAGCGACAGCGACTTGCCTGCAGATTACGACGACCACGGCCAGCACGCTGATCTCAAACATCTCTCTTCTAGTCATGGTGCACCTACAGCCGACTGGCACGCTTCTCCACCCAGCAGCACCACCCTCCATCGCGACGCCAACCACGATTCCTCTTCAGCCGGCGCACCACTCTTGCACCGCCACAGTTCATTCACCAGCGTCTCCTCCCGTCGTACTCACTCTGGCAGCAGCTCTTCCTTCTCCCAAGCCCTTACCACCGTCGTTGGCTTACTCATCCACGCAACAGCAGACGGTATTGCAATGGGAGCATCAGCTCAATCACGGGATCAAACCCTCACTATGGTTGTCTTTGTTGCTATCATGGTTCACAAAGCTCCTGCTGCCTTTGGATTATGTGCGATGCTCATGTCTCAGCGTTTGTCGAGGACGTCGATTCGAAAGGCAGTGGCGATTTTCGCATTTGCTTCTCCGTTGGGGGCCATCTTGACTTATGGGCTGTTGGCGTTGTTTTTTGATTCAGGCGTGGTCAGTGCCACGGATGGCGGTGCAGAAGCAGCGCAGGGTGGGATCGATGAGAAGAGTATTGGTACCGCACTAGCTTTCTCCGGTGGTACATTTTTGTTTGTTGCTTTCCACGCAGTCTTGGAGTTGGCTGGAGTCGAGGCTGACACAGTGCCGAAGCAAGGTGAGGATGGGGGCGAGACGCAGATTCTGGGCAAGTGGTTGAGGATAGGATTGCTGATTGCGGGCTCTTGTACACCGAGGTTGCTGCAATCTATATTGGCTGGGTTGGATGGTGGTGGACACCATCATTGAGGGCCTGGAGCGGATAGGGTAGGCTCACCGTCCTGTTTTGCGGTGTCGTTTTGTATTTGTTTCGTTTACTATTCATCGTGCTTCTAATGCATCAAACTCATTTGGAGGTTTCCTATCAGTCACGATCTCTGACCACATTTAAGTTGCTCGGAGTCTGTGCGTGTCGCCTAACATGCCACAAGCTGGCTCGAGCGAAGGCCTTCATCAGAGAAAGCAGGATCCAAAGTTCGTTGAGAATGTATTAAAAGCTGCAAAGCAGTAATCACAGGTCCTGCTTCTCCGAAACTGTAGCTGCCTTTGCCTTCGTTCTCTTTCTTGTCTCCCCTGCTGCTGCGGCTGGCTTACTCGCCCCAGTTGCCTTTGCCTTCTCCTGGTTTTCCTTCTCGTCGACAATCTCCTCCACCTTTGCTTGATTCAGAACCTCCTCCTCCTTCCCAGGTATCAAATTCGTCAATGCCCCACCAACCGCAATTAACGTCCTCGAACAGACCATCTGCCACACCGTACTACTGATCGCTCCTTTCGGCGCCCTCGGCAGCGCCAAGAACCATCCCACAGGTCCAAACCAGCTATGCTCGCCTGGTGGCAACCAGAAGATCGGTGTCTTGCTGTACCAACTCGTGACACAGAAGGGGAAGATGGTTGTAATGACGAACATGAGTCCTTTGAACAGCATCGAAAAGGTGGAACGAGCGGAGGAGAGCGAGGCGTTGGCCTTTTCGAGATCGGCAAGTCCTTTGTCGACACGACGACGGAGTTTCGCCCACTTGGCGAATTGGTCTTGCGAGGATGTTGCGGCTAGGTCTCGTTTGTCAGTGAGGATTTGGCGACGGAGAGATCGTTGGGTGGAGAGTGTGGATCTGTGGAAGACTGCTACATAGCAGTACCATAGCTGCAGGTTTATACCAGTCGACAAGTTTGTAGGGCGTGAAGCAGAGGGTCAATACGAGGTTACAACACAATATGAGTGTAGATTGGCGTTCGGCATGACACTTACGATGTCTTGCAACCTATCTTTGCCAAGAGCGGCGATGGATTGAACCGCCACCACCGAGATGAGAATCACTAGCGCTGGATGCATCTTGGCCGTTGATCGCACCAAGAAGAGCTCACCGATGTATTGCTGCAGTTTATTGTATGTGTGCTGTGGAGATGAAGATGACGGAGGAATGAAAGGTGTAGTTACAAAGCACGGATCCTTCGCGTCTTCCACCAAAGCTCCCGCCAAAGTAGTTGCCGGCCGAATCAACCTCTTTCCCTCCACATCAACACTCTGCTTCTTCTCGCAGAGCAACACTTCAACTTGAGTTGAAGATGCGTCGGCATCTCAAGCAAGATGCACGTGTCACGGCCGAGACACCAAGGTGCAGGAGGCTTACTTAAGCGAGAAGCACAAATGAGATACATGATCGTTGCCATGGCGACAGCTTAGTGGCACCCAGTATCATAGCAACACAGAAGTATAAATGAAGTAACACATCCTGTCTCGGATAGGACTATAGTGGCAAATAGAGTATATATATATGCATTTGTCATTTAGGTCCACACCACATAAAAATGGCAGTATTATATAGAACATACAGCTGTGGTAAAGGGAGTCTGATCATGACCCTGATAACGCCGTATACTAATTGTTATCTTCAATTGATTAAGAGTCTGAAGAAGCTATCACTGAGCTAACCGAAACTCATTGACAACCATGGTAGAAGACACCAAAACGAGGACCAAAGGAAGCAGAAAGGGCAAGAACACCCAGGTTTGGGTTGACAATAATGCCACGAACAAGAACGAGCCAGAGGCCATCAACAATGAAGCCGACGAAGACACTGATTCCGACTCCGACTTTGATGATGGCGACAAGCGATATAACTTTCGCACCCTAGCAAAGCTCCTCGAACCCGTGCCAAAGCTCACATCACGAAACTATTATAGCTGGAGTGCTCACATGAAATCTTTCCTCCGATCCGTGCCCCATGCGATGAAACATCTCGAGGGAACGTACGACAAGAAGCACCCGAAATGGAGCCGCTCCCTCGATGATGCTTTAATCAACGCCCTGTGTGGAACAATTGACACTACCGGGGAATACAATGTAAATTACCTCGTTCTAGATGTAATCAAGGAGTACCTTACTTTCAACCAAGTATGGAGAAAGATCGAAAACAGTCTCACGAATGAAGCCACCAAGACGTCTCACATACTTGTGCTCATCTCGCAGCTCAACGATACAAAGATGTTTCACTCGGATGCCAGAAAGCTAATCCAAGAGATCCGGTCCATACAGACTGAAAGCAGCCTCCTCGGCAAACCATTCGCCGATGATACATTGTTCTCGGCTCTGCAGAAATGCACGATCCGGCATCTGGTGTACAAGGAGACAGTTGCCACCGTTCATCAAATCGATTTCAACACCCTTGCCACCGCACTAAGTATCTGGCAGACCGCTGTTGAGAGTGTCCCTGCACAAAAGATCGACCCCCGACAAGCCAGCGCTAGAACCGCCAGCAATGACAATCAAAATGAACAGGCCGGAGAGACCGAAGCCAAAGCCGACAACAGCCACACAAGCTCGAGGAACGCAGGCAGACCACGCCGAATCCAATGCTGGATCTGCAAGCGACCGGGACATGGTATTAGTCAATGCGATGCCTTGGTCACCATTCCCAAAGACTCCCCCCTCGCTGAACCTAAATAGGAAGTGTGGTGCTCCCTCACCCTCCCATTGAAATGGCAAGACCCCTCGAACACAAAAGAAACAGCTCATTGGATCTTGGACTCGGGGGCGAGTTATCATATGGTGAATGACTACAGCATGCTCATCCACCCGAGAACTTGCCGAAAGCAGATAATTACCGCCGGAAGCGAGGTCTTGGAAGCAGCAGCTATAGGAGATGCAAGCATATCAACAGATTATGGGGAAATCTCCCTACAAAATGTATTGTATGTGAAGCACCTTAATGTTAACCTTCTGTCAACAAATTCATTAACGGATGAAGGAGCACGAGTGATATTGGACACAACTGGCGGTCAAATTTTTCTAACAAATGGCATGACACTTAAGATTGCAAAGAATCGTGAGCGAGGACTTTTGGAGTTCCGAGGCAACACATGGCAAGAAAGCGCGATGGCCACATCAGCACCATTGTTTGAAGGTGTTGATGAGGAGTTCGAGCATATTAAGAATGAGCCGAAAGTTTCAAAGCAACAACTATGGCATGAGCATCTCGGACACCCAGGAAGAGATAAAGCTAAGGTGATCATGAGCAAGTTAAAAGATAAGCATACCATGAAATTGGATCCAAACACCGCTCTGACATGTGAGCAGTGCGTATGATCCAAGAGCACAAGCGCTCGGATGGGGAAAGGTAGCGGTGAAAGAGCCATAGGGCCCCTGGATCTTATCCACGTCGATCTAATAATAGACTTGTCCCACGTGACGGAGTACACATGCATGTTGGTGCTGGTCGACGATCATAGCAAGTATGTGTATGCACAGCCATTGACATGAAAGAGTCATGCATTTATGCAACTCAAAAGAATTGTTTCATTCCTGGAGACACAGACGGATCGGAAGCTAAAAGCGATCCGATCCGATCAAGGAACGGAATGGAAAAGCAATGATGCATTAGAATGGTCACTAGAAAAGGGCATAGAGTGGCAAACCACCGTAGGGTACAACAGCAAACAAAATGGACAGGTAGAGAGAATGAACAGGACCCTTGGAGAGAAGATGAGAATGTTGCTAATGCAGAGGAGACTACCGAAGAAGTTCTGGCCATACGCGATCAGAGCTGTGGCGTTCAAAATAAACCTCACTCCGAGCGTTGATAATGAATTCCCTTATCAAGCAATGTTTGGCAAGTCGCCAGAACGAGCTTTAAAGCTCCTATGAGTGTTTGGTTGTCTGGCATGGGTAAATGTACCCAAAGTCAAATGGGACAACAAGAAACTGGACCAGCGAGCCGTCGCATCCATTTTCTTGGGATACAGTCTAGAGAGAAAGGGCTGGCTCTTCTACAGTCCGGACTATAATCCGAACATGTTCTGGAGCAATTCAGCAAAATTCATGGAATCAAAGTGCTGGTCAGACAGAACAGAGTGGCAACCGGTTGACACAAAGGCACCTCCAGTGATGATGACAGAAGAGAATTTCGAAGATCTAGGATACAACAAAGAAAATATATTCGACAAAACAGATGAAGGGCCACTACAAGAATACATGGATATGGAGACAGATTCGGAAGAAAGGTTAAGCGGAGGAACAGCGGAGGTGATGGAACAAGGATCAACTGCCGAAACTCAGATTGACAGCGAATTCTTTGGACTCGTAGCGACACGACCGGAACAGAGAAAGAACCTGGACCCAACCATACATGAAGCAATGAGTGGAGAAGACAGAAAGCACTGGGAGGAGGCCATGCGAAAGGAGCTGGATGGATTGGAGGCGATGGGCACATGGGAGATAGCCAACCTCCCAAAGGGTGCAAACACCGTCGACACACGTTGGGTACTCAAGATCAAAACCGATGCAAACCTCATGCCAACAAAGTTCAAAGCCTGGCTTGTGGCACGAGGTTTCACCCAACGCGAGGGCATCGACTACACAGAGGTCTTCGCACCAGTAGCACCCATCCAATCCATTCGAGGGGTGATCGCTGTCGCAGCAGTACAAGATTGGGAAATAGATTCTATTGACATAAAGCAAGCGTACCTGAACTCCACTATACACCATGATGTATATCTCAAGCCCCCAGTAGGAATCAAAATACCACCCGGAAAAGCGTTGAAGGTAGTGAAAGGACTGTACGGTCTGAAACAATTGGGCTGAGAATGGAACATTGAGTTAGACTCACATCTCCGGACGATCAGATTTCATTGCATGCTGAGCACACCATGCCTATACTCAAGAGGGACAGGCGACAAGATCACGATCATCACAGCATACGTGGATGACATGCTGATAACATCACCCAGTCGTGATGAAGTAGACCGCACTAAGCAAGAGATCATGGACAAATGGGAGATGCAAGACAACGGAAGGATCAAGGAATTTCTGGGTATCAAGATCACATGTGATAGAAGATGGAGGAGGATATCTCTGGGCCTAACGGCATACATCAAAGAAATGGTGAACAAATGGTTAGGAGGAGCAAACGAGAAATCTTGGGTACCCATGCTGAGCATAGCAAACGTCGCCGGAGGCAAGAGATGTGAACCTCAGCGAGCAAAGAAGTATCAAGAGTTGGTCGGCCAACTATTATGGGTCTCCAACACAGCCCAACCAGATATTGCCTTTGCTGTTGGCGTATTGTCGCGATATATGTCGATCCCGATCGACAGTGCATGGAAGGCAGCCATTCACGTGGTAAAGTACCTGAACCAAACGAACGAATATCAGTTGCACTTAGGAGGGGAGACAAACAAGCACTCAGATACACCGGTAATGATGTATACTGATGCAAACTGGGCATCCGACCCCACAAATGGACGAAGGAGCACCTTGGGGTTGATAACATATGTGTATGGATGTCCAGTGAGTTGGAAATCTCATGTTCAAAAGTGTGTGGCATTGTCAGCAGTCGAAGCAGAGTTTGTCGCCGCTTCCGAAGTGGTGCGAGAAACATTGTTCTTCTCATATTTGCTCTGGGACTTGGAGATCACGGATGTTTGGCCCGTGCTATACACAGATAGCCAGGGGTGCATACAGGTGAGTAAAGATCCAGCCAAACATTGGAAGTTAAAGCACATCGACACACGGTATCATTTCATCCGCAATCATGTGCAAGAGGGCGATGTGGCAATCAAATATGTCGGAACAGCAAACAACATTGCAGATGTCTTGACAAAACCTTTACAGGGTCTCAACACCTCACAATTGGCTAGGATGATAGGGCTGGAGATCCCGCTGAAGGGGGGAGTTGAAGATGCGTCGGCATCTCAAGCAAGATGCACATGTCACGGCCGAGACACCGAGGTGCAGGAGGCTTACTTAAGCGAGAAGCACGAATGAGATACATGATCGTTGCCATGGCGACAGCTTAGTGGCACCCAGTATCATAGCAACACAGAAGTATAAATGAAGTAACACGTCCTGTCTCGGATAGGACTATAGCGGCAAATAGAGTATATATATATGCATTTGTCATTTAGGTCCACACCACATAAAAATGGCAGTATTATATAGAACATATGGCTGTGGTAAAGGGAGTCTGATCGTGACCCCGATAACGCCGTATACTAATTGTTATATTCAATTACTTGACTTCATACACCCACACACTTTGTCTTCTGACTACCACCATCCTTCGAGAACGAATTGGCGCTGTCTTCTTAACATCATAGCGGGATTCTTCCACCTATAAACCATGCGTACTTTTACGAACAAGCTTGCTTCGATGAACCAGACCCGATGACCTTGGCCGCGATCATGTTCCCTCCAATGCAGCACGGTCCAACACGAGTGATAGCTTATGGGAGCAATTTATTCTCCCAGCTCAACTCTTTGCAGCAGCTCAACTCGACTTTCACTAAGCCATACACGATAGAGGACGCAGCGAGCCTTGTTGCTGTCAGCACGTATCAGACGATCTACCGCGCAACTTCAGGCGAGATTAAGGTGCTCGGCGAATCGGGACACCTTTTGGAGGGGCTTATAGCGGGTAAGGGTGCATCGAAGTTAACCTTTGTCGGACAGGACATTATCGAAGCAGTGCTGGATGGCGATGGAAGACGAAGTTGGTTCTTGAACTATAACACCGGACGGGTGAGCGAAGTCGAGGGAGGTTGGAAAACAGCTGTTTCTGATGGGAGGGGGAGGTGCATGGCTATTGATCAGGAGGGAGCGGTGTATCTGTTCGACTCTACGCGTTTCTTCAGAGCTGCGACTGGTGACTCAGACTCTGCAAAGGCACTCAGAAAGGTAACCATGTTCAAGGGGCATGCCTACGACGAAGCCAAGAACAGCCTCCTCCCAACCACTGTGGAGCTGCCGAAGTTCAAGGCGATCTCAGCCGGGAGTGCACATTTTGTGCTTCTTGCCGCCGGTTCCAAACTAGAGTGTCCAGTCTGGATCTACGGAGACGCACGATTCGGTGCTGTACCCCTCACACCTTTCTCAAACACTACCTTCGTCGGCACCCTCTCCAGCAAACCCTCACCTTCTGCACAACCAACAGACGTACCATATTTGATGCCGGTCCCCCACTTTTCCCCACTCGAAGGCTTTCCCGATCCCATCTCCGATATCGTCACCGGCTCACGCCATACCATTGTCCGCACCATCTTTGGCGACCTCTATGGGTGGGGCTGGAACGAACACTCCCCTTTGCTTCCACTCAATCTTCCACCTAAACAGAAAGAGGTAGAATGGGAGAACAATATCATCTCTGAACCGGCCGTAATGGATGTTCATCTTCCCCCAGGCCCGAATGAGACGCAGACCTTCGCGTTCAGGAATGTTGCGGCAGCAGGAGGGAGGAGTTTTGCGTTGATCAAGGCAGGTGAATTAGCCGTTGCGGGTAGTAATGAGTTCAATACGCTCGGTTTAGCGGCTGAGCGGGAATTGAAAGGTCTGAAAGAGAGGGGTAGGAAGGGAGAGAGAAGTTTCAGTCAGATCAAGAGGGAGTTTGAGTGCGTGGATGGTATGCAGCTCCACCCGGACTTCAAGGAGTGCAATGAGAATGGGGAACGAGGGAAAGTGATGGTAGTGGACGTCCATGCGACGTCGTTGGCCACTTTTCTGACTCTCGCCGATCGCTTGCCAGGTAGCGATGAGATCCGTGGTAGAGGGGTTTATGTCATGGATTAACTAGAATACAGCACCGCAATACAACTATGTATCTTTCATTTCGACATCTCCACCTGTTGTAACCTCTCCAGCAGCTTTTGCAAGCTCATCCTCGTCCTACGTCGCCGGTACATCTGCATTCGGATCCGTTGAAAGCAACTTTTGCTCTTCTCCAGTAGGTTGTTGTTCCGCCTCTGCACCTGCCGCTAGCACTGCTAGGATTCCTTTGCCCATTTCTGGTGCTGTTGTGGGTTGCTCGTGCAGCTGTGTCTCCACTTAAGGTTGGGTCTGAGGGGTGTTGCTTCCCGTTGCCCCAGCTTCGCCTTGTGAGGAAGGTTCTTGGCTCGTTCCTGTACCTGCTGGAGCTGGGGTTTGGGCTGCAGAGTCTGTGGGGGTGTTGTCGCCTGTAGTGTTGGTACTAGAGTTGGGTTCGGAAAATGACTGTGTGACGTGTGCTGGGATGGCTGATGCTGGTGCTACGCCGCTGGTGTTAGGTGCGGGGGTAGAGGGTGGTTCTTTGGGAGCAATAGTTCCCAAACCGCCGCCAGCAGAGGTGAGGGATGGACCGGAGGGGGTGCCGGGAGCTGCGGGGGCGTTGTGAATGCTTTGTACGGGCGCTTCGACAATGGCTGCATCGTCAAAAATACGGTCTTCTGCTTGAACGTCTTGGTCTTCAGGGAAGGTAATGTGCGAGTCTGGTAGGCGGACCCATTTGAGGATTTTCACGCCGACGCCGGCTGAGGAGGATGAGGAAGCGCCGTCAATAGATGTGCCTGTAGGAACGACCCATTCTTGGCGCCACTTGCTGATGAACAGGGAGAGCCAAGTGGAATGTCAGTGGACTGTTCGGACAAAGAGCGGGTAAGAAGGTGGGACAAGGTAGACTCACGCAATGGGCTCTGTGGCCTGTCTGCGCACTTCGTGCTCGATATTCGGCACGAATCGACCTCCCAATCTCGACATTGTGTTCCGATGCTCTGGAATGGGGAAGCGACGAAGACTGGAGGCGGTTTGAGGGTGAGAAATGGTGTTGCAAGGTGAAGTTGAGAAGGTGTTGGTTGGATGGAAGGCGCAACTGAACGTGTCCTGCAGGCAGGCTCGACTCGCGCAAATTCCGACTTCCGAGTCCATTGTCCTTGGCTTCCTCACTGAAGCCTCTGATGCATAACAATGCTTCTTCTCTTCACAAGCTGCCAAGCTGATAACATGCAACGGGTTTGAGAATGATTGTATAGTAGTACACGATTGAAAGCGACGCTTTGGCAAAGTAAAAGTACACGTATCCGCGCCGTGCAAATGCGGATCGATCGTGTGGCTTGATCGCAACAGAAGCTGTGAAGATGCTTATGCTCTTGCGAAAGTGATCTGTGCAGAGAGGACAATACAGAAAAGAGCATGTCAGCGAGATGGCATGGAAGGCAGACTTCTATTAGTTTGAATCTTGTACGTACTTTGAGTTTGTCACCAGCACCAAAGTTGTAACCGTTGAGAGCACCACGAGCTGTGACACTTGATGGAATATCTGCATACTCGACGAAAGCGATATCTGCCTTGCCGGGAATGGTCTGTACGTCGACATATCCCGAGTATCTATTGTTGAGCAGAAGCGGCGAGCGAATGTGAGATAAATGTCAGTATTGGAGCCATAACCATTGATGGCGAAGGTGGCGATACGTACGCAGAGAAGAGACTTTCCAATTCGCCCTTGCCGACACCATCTGGGATGTTTTGCAGGAAGAGCGTCTTGTTGGGGGGCAAATACTCGTCTGGCATCTCCTGTTGTGCTCTCTTGTTAGCAGCCGCCTTTTCTGGCTCTGCAATTTCTCCTGCGGCGGCACGCTTTGCCCTGATCTTCTTCTCCAATTCTCTCCTTCTCAACACATTACCTCTCCTAGCCATCTTCTTGTGCTCTAGCCTCTCTTCCTTGTGCGTCTTGAACAGTTCTGATTCTTTGCCTCCTTCCTCCTTCACCTTTTGCAGCACGACTGCATCAGACTTGGACTTGGCAAAGCTGATCTTCATCGCTTTGCCGTACAGGGGGAACAGGTGTGCCTCTCGTCGAGCCTTGTCTGCTGCTTGGACGTTGTCGAGTGATACAAATGCTTGGCCACGCATTCGAAGATTGGTGTGAGATACGACGGATAATACGGTGCCATAGTTGGAGAAGAGATTGTGCAGAGTCGCTTTCATGGTCTCAAGCTTGACCTTTTCGTTGAGATTTTGGATGTAGAGTGTCTGACTGGCGTCAGCGGGAAGCGGTGGTGGCTCGTCGGACTCGCTCTGATCCATCGCCATGCCGAAGGGCGGTGGTGGGATGCCGGCCATCCCTGGCGGTGGTATTGATGGAGGAGGTATGCCGGGGGGTAGAACACCCGCACCGAAAGGAGGAGGAGGTGCAGGCGAGTTGGACATCTTGGATGCGAAACTGCGCTATCTGTAGTATGATTTGGCGGTGAGGATACCCAGCCAGATCTCTGCGATAGGCTTAAGCTCGCTAGAACAGTATGGTGTGTTGGATAGGATGTTGAGTGAGTGTGAGAAGATGGTCTGTGTTGGAAATGCGAAGATGAGAGTCTCTCTGTCTCGGGAATCGGCCAATTCGCGTTCTAGTTAACTAAAAGCTAGAAATGCAACGCCATGCTGACTAAAAGTGGATCGTACGGGTCCCGATGACTGGCGATCGGTGAGAGTCGGAGCACGATGTCACTGCTGTTTTAAGAACACGCTCTTCTCAATGCTCAGCCATCATCATTTCGCAGACCTTCTCTGCTTCCATCCATCCATCTACTGACTGGCTCAGATGATACCTTTTCGATACGCTCGATCCCAGTAGCGCTTCTGGTCGCCTATTCACACGAATTGTTCTCACTCAACGGCGGCGCTCTGCGATAAGGCGGCTTTCTCACTATGTCGTCGCGTATTGAAAAGGGTGGTGCTCGTTTCAAGCCCTCCATCGTGCCAAGGAGGTCTGCTGGAGGGGCAGCAGCTACTGGCAGCACACCCTCGTCTGCCATCTCTACTCCTGAGCAGGCATCACAGCAGCAGCAAACAGCTGGCTCTCAAGCCGGTCCGCCTCCATCTCCATCGCTCGCGCCAGCCTACCAGGCTCGTGCACCTTCCAATCGAACGAGTGTCCCAATCACGGCATCACGCTCCACTGCCACAGCATCACAAACTGCTGCGACACCTGCAAAGTCGCAAAGCTACGCGTTCAGTGCCTCGACCCCGGTCATCTCAAAGCCTGGACCCTCGGCGTCTCCGCGCACCAGCATCGCTGCAGGTCAGCCTTCTGCAAGCGCAGCCAAGCCAAAGCCTGTTTTCAACAGGCCTACCGTCATAAAACCCAGACCTGGCTCAAGGGCTTCGCTGACCCCAGCACCTCAATTTTCTCATCCTACTGCCTCGACCTCGACCTTGACCTCAACACAGCCTTCCGATGCCGCCCCAGCAACAGAAGTTTTGTCGGCCATCAACCAAGGTGTTGAAGCAGATCCTGACCTGACCGCGCCGTCTGCGCGCTCGGATGCTCCGCCTAGTATCGGAGGACCACGCAGATCTAGAAACGCCAATGCAAGCTCGATCCATGCAGGAGCGGGACGTAGCTCCGGTTCGACTGCAGATGAACCCGCCGCAGAAGCAATGGTCGACAAAGCTTCACAGCCAGATCCGTTCCAGGCGCCACAACGCGCGACACGATCCAAAGCGGTTCCCAGCAGCATCGTCACTGGTACAGCTGCCACAGTCAAGGAGAGTGCATCTCAGCAAGAGGCACAATCTTCGACGCGATCGACGAGAAGGTCAACAATGTCAGCAACACAAGCCAATGCAGCTCAATCTGACGTGAATGATGCCACCACATCCTCGGTCGCTAGCAACAAAGGCAAAGGCCGAGAAACTGCAGACCAAAGCAACCTCGCCTCAGCCTCCCACTCGGGCTCTGCATCGCAACCTATCAAGCCAGGGTCGCGACCGCGAGAGAACTCTGTCGAAGAGACAGCCGAACAGAAGGCTGCCAAGGCGGCTGAGCGCAGGCAAAATGCTGCTGCTCGCTTGAACAAGCGTCGGCTCAAGCGAAAGGAGCAAGCTTCAGGCAAGCCTCGACGCCCGCTCTCTGCCTATCTCCTCTTTGTCAATGCGAACCGCGCAGATCGACAGGCTCAAAACCCAGGTATGTTGCTCACAGAGCTCACAAGCCAAATGGCTGCCGAGTGGCGCGACCTCGCACCCGCACAACGAACAAAGTGGGAAGCTGAGGCAGCACTTCTCCGACAACAGTACGACTCAGCGCTCGACGCATGGAAGTTGGCTCATCCCGAAGGTATCACACTTGGGCCTGAGGACGAGAGCGATATGGAGACTACCTCAGAACTTGGCGATGATGGCGAGCCAGTCAGAAAGAAGAAGCGTCGTGTCACTCGCTCTCGCAAGCCGCATACAGTCTCGGATGATGAGGAAGAATATCGCAAGCAGGCGTACGAAGAAGGTCCGCAGTTGGCTGCTAGTCGTATCGATCCTGCCAACGTCACCATGGCTGACATCAGCACGGTTGACTACAGGAAAGGTCGAGCTGGGCCAAGGACCTTTGAAGCTGATCGGGTGTACAGGAGGCTTGTCAGTGAAAGAAGGGCAGCTGCACAATCCGCTGTACTTGGAGAGCATGTGCTGGGTGAAAAGGTCAACAATGCTTCACCCTCGCCTGCGCCAGCAGGTCGTATCGTAAGGACGACAAATGGAGTGCCCATGGAAGCTGATGCAGAAGAAGTGCTCGAAGGAGAGGGGGAAGTTGTAGGCGGTCAAAGCGGCCACGACGACAACGATGCATCCGGCGTCAAAGAGTCTGCACCTGAAACAGATGCTGACGGCACTACTGACGGCGAAGGGGAACCCTCTCTCAGCAGCCGCATTGGCCGGAAGAAACGCGAAACATCCGTTGCAGCTACCGACGTCTCTTTCCGAGAGAATCGATTCGCCGTCCAAACGCGTATCGTCGACGGCAAGATTGTTCTCGACGAGACCTCACTCTTCGCCAACTACGGCAATGGCGAGGACGACAGGGACAATATGGAAGTGGTTGACGAGCGTGAAGGTGATCGCTTCGTCAACGCTGCCACCTACTCACGCAAGCTCGGTCGCAACAGGAAGTGGTCGGCAGACGAGACGGCCAAGTTCTACCGCTCACTCCAGCAGTGGGGTACAGATTTTGAGATGATCGCTCGTCTCTTCCCCGGCAGGGATAGAGTGATGATCAAGAAGAAGTTCAACGTGGAAGAGAGAAGTAATGTCCGGTTGGTGGACGAGGCACTCAAGAATTCGATTCCGGTCAATCTGGAGGCTTATGCAGCAGCTATTGGGGTCGATCTTTCAGGACCGCCGCCGGAAATCAAAGCTGATCTTCAGGACATTGAGGCTCTCGCTGCCGCCAATCCAGACTCAACAGCGGCGATCAAGAAACGTGAAGCGTCAGCTCCGATTAACGGACGCAGGGGAGAGAGAAGCGATGCGGAGGAAGGAGGAGACGACGATGACGGTTACGAGTACGAAGAGGTCGTTGACATTGATGCTGATGGCAATGAGCAGGTCATTCGGAGGAGATTGGGGAAGAAGCCGGGACTTAAGGGCAAGAAGAGGAAGAATTCGACAAGGAAGGGCTCGTTGAGTACGCCTGCTCCTGCTCCTGCTCCTGCTCCTGCTCCTGCTCCTGCTCCTACTCCAGCAGAAGCTGGTGCCAACGAGGGCCAGGAGACAGCGGCTGAAGAAGCTAGCGCAGGCAGAATAGGCGGTCCACCCTCGATTGGTAGCAAGAAAACCACAAGGTCCAGCACGCTCAAAAAGACGGGTAGCAACAAGGACAGTAGCAAGGGGGCGCCGGGTGATGGTATGGAGGTTGAGGAAATTATTGGCGAGGTCTAGCGTCCATCTGTGTCTTCCGTCAATCATATCATGCTTTCCACATGGCGATTTGCGCAACGGTGTTCTCGCAGATCGAGATCAAAGCTTAGACCGTGTTTCCTCCTGCTGTTCTATCAGCAGCTTTTGCAATCCACCCTTCAACGGCGGGGGCATTGGCACTGGCCGTCTACTGACTCGATCGACAAATACATGTGTGGATGTGATCAAAGCTGCGGTCTCCTCCGCCTTTTCTTCTCTGATCGAGACCTGATAAGTCACTGAACTTTTGCCAAGTTTCACCACTCGCAACCCAACCTTTAGTGGAGCGGGAAAAGAGCACGCGGCGAAATATCGACATGAGTTGGAGATAACCAGCCCAACGACGTCTTTGACGTCTTTCTCTCCTGTTGAAGACAAAGATGACGAGACGTTGGACGTCGTTGGGGAGTGTGGTGATGATGAGGAAGGGTGAATGAAGGGCTGGATCCCACAAGAGTTGACAAGGTAGGCATTGATGATGCTATCCGCGATTAGATAGTATGATGAATTGTTGAGGTGGCCGTATCTGTTTATAGCCGAAAAAAGCGGAGAGTGAACGGTCAGCAGGGATGCACAGCATATGGAAAGAGAGAAGGTAGGGCGGACTCACTGGTCGTTATCCAACCATCTCGATTGGTATGTCACTGTGTGGGGCCATGGGCCTTTAGCTTCTGCTGACATCGTAAAGCTAGGTGCCGAGGTAAGGATTTGAGCTTGAGCCTGACCGTTTGGGAGTTCTCTTTGATCGAGTTCAGTTGGCGAGCAGATGCGTGCTATGGAGTTGTTTGCCTTGCTGCAGGCGATGGTGAAGATGATAGTATCTGAGGAAGAAGCGAGGCCACCGGGTACCGGCACGCTCTAAAAGCGAATTTGCCGGTGTTAAACCCTCGCGTTTCGCATCACGTCAAAAAATGCGGAGGGGAATAATATGGTTTGAAAAAAGGGTCATTGAAATTCATCATCATCTTAGACTGCCTGTGGCTATCTGAGACTCCTAATCGACACCTCACCTGACGACTTGCTTACTCAAGTAGTCATAACTGTCCTTGTGAATGCCATCTCAGTCACGATCAGCTTGCTTTCGTCAATGTCGATGAGGATATAGAAAAGCAAATGCATCGGGTATATCTACTTCCATCTCAAAAGAAACAAAAAGGGTATCACTAGTTGAGAAGCGTCATTAATTGAGCTGCAGACTGCACCGCATCCTCTATCTGCGCATGAAGCAGTGGAGTGACAGCTGTAGTAGCTCTTCCTCTCCTCGCTCCTCCGGCCGCAACAGGTGCTGCGACTGACTTGCGGGAGCGAGGATGAAGTGACTTCCTTCCCGCTGTCGGCTTCACACTCCTTCCCTGCTTCTGCCCAAGCACATTCTCCGCCGCTTCATCTAGACGAGCAGCCGCATTCTGCAGTGAAGTATACGCATCTGCTTCACCCTCTTCGCTTGCCGACTTAGGAGCCTTGCAGCTTTTGCACTTAACTTTGATGAGTTTGTGTGCGAGGTATCGCAGCCAGAGCATATTTGTGCTCGGAGTGTAACTGCTCCAGTCGCCGCTGGTGACAGTACGCATCTCGCGATATACATCAAATTGCGGGTCCCCGGAACCTTGGAAAAGCGACTCGTCGTCGAATGGGTAGTGCAGCACTTCTGCTTCCTTGCTTCTGCCCTTGGATGCCGGAGGGATGGTAGCGCGGGAAAGAGTAAAGTCGATGATTGTTGCTTTTACGCCTGAGATTCTGGGGTCGAGAAGCAAATTCAGAACACTGCTGCGCCTCGAAGCTTGCTCGCTGGAAGTGACGGCTTGAACTAAGATGTTGCCCCAATGCAGATCGCGATGCTCAAACTCGATCCTAGACTCCATCTCGCTCAGTCCGGTAACAACCTGCCAGAAGATCGAAGCGGCTTGCAACCAAGACTTGACTTTAAGGCTCTCCAAGTCCATACCGCCATCTGTCATGACTAGTAGCGCATAGACTTGTTGACTGCCGAAAACGTCAGGGCGGATGTTTTCTGCGCCTTCGCCGGCCTTTGCTCTTCGCTTTGTGTCCCATCGATCCCAAGCTTGTAGGAGGGCTGAAGGGTATGCTCCTTTGACGACGTGTGCTGAACGGAGGGAGACGAAGGCGTCAGTTTTTGTGCACGCAGATTCTCGTTCGATCAGCTGCATCAGTCGAATCTCCCGATCGACGTCGACGGCAGGGGAGGAGAACGGAAGGTCCTCGTCGTCGTTTGATACAGCAGTGCTAGCAATGGGAATGACCTTCAGCACCAACGCCTCGTCATGTCCGGGCGTCGCGGTTGAGGTAGCGGTTGGGGGAGCAAAGATCTTGAAAACTTCGCTGAAGCTGGCCTCGCCGATCTTCTCGATGCGTCGTCTCGTTTTCGTCATTTTAGCTGCACCCGATGTGGAACGAGTAATGGTTGTTCGGAGACGTTGGACAGTGTCGCAGAATGATTCTGGCTTGGACTGCGAGACTGCGTCCAGCAAATCAGAGAGATAATTGTCAACGGCATCGGCATGTACTACTGCGAGGTCTGCAACTTGAGCTGCGAGCTTCAAAGCAGGATCTTGGCCAGCTTCGTCGTCGGATCCGAGCTCGTCGGCATTGTTGTGATCTTCGTTTTCGTCGTCACTGGAAGCGGCGATTCGGCGTGTGACGCGCTTGTTCTGTTTTGCTTTCAAGGCTTTGGCAGCGCTTCTCTTGGATGCTAGATCGTTCGAATCGTCGTGTCTCGGGATGACCAAGCTGAATGAAGACCCGCTTGTGCTGCCACCTTCGAAAGACGAGCCTGATGCGCCGGTAGCAGAGGATAGAGACGAATCCGAGATGGTAAATGCAGATGCTCTGGAAGAGCCACGGGCAGAGGTATGTCTTGGTCTGGCTGCCATTGACTTTCGAGATGTCTTTGATGCCGTTGATGCTGATGTCTTGATGCTTCGTGCAACCTCCTGCTTGGCTTGCTGTTGCTCGTGCTCATCCTCGAGGGCCCATTCAGCCAGCTGCTTCGCTTTCTCCACGAAGTAAGACTTGGTGGGAACAGGACGACGTGGCGTCATGTCTCTATCGGAGAAGTCGTAGTCCTCGATGGCTATGCGAGCTGCTTGGGCGGCTCTGCGTGGAGCTCGTCCGGTTTGCTGGGCTGGCGGCGGCGGCGTTGATTCAATGGGGAGGACTACAGCGCACAGGCTGCTAGCTGCTGATGCTTTAGGCTTTGGAGCTTTTCGAACCGTCTGCGGGGAGTCAGTTGGCCCACGCTTTGGTCCTCCACGCTTTGACTTCGGCGTGGCGTTGACCATTGCCTCGTCCTGCACCTTGATGACTGCGGCCTTGGCGGGTTTCGAGGTGGACTTATGCGTTGCTGCATCCTTGCTGTTGAGCGCTTTACTCGCTGGTGCTGTTCTCTGTGCCCCTGATGTGCTCTTGCTTGCTGGCTTTGGGGAGGAAGAGGAGCTGCATGCCGAGTGAAAAGAAGCGCTGGTGTTGGCTGTGTCGTATGCTGCACTCTGACCTGTCTCCGACTGGCTTTCGAGTGTGTCATCTGCTTCCGATGTTTCTGTTTCGGCAGTGGCATGCAGCTGTGAGGCTAACAAAGAAGCTCGTGATCGTCCATATGTGGATTTGGGCTTGGCTTGCGAGTTGAAGAAGCCAAATAAGTCGTTCTCGTCTGCGTCCAGCGTGGTGAAAGCGCTGTGACGATTGACAACCCGAACTTCCGCCTTTCGACCGTACACCGACACCTTTTTTGTGCTGCCAGAAAGGAACGACATGATGAGTATGGCAGAGCACCAAGGTCCGAGTCACTGTTATAACGAGCCGACGGAGGCTTGTGAGTGACAGCGCCGAAGATGGAGATTGAACCGAGGATGGAGATTGAACCGAAGATGGAGATTGGACCGAAGATGGAGATTGAACCAGAAGTTGCGATGATGTCAGGCGACCGCAGGTTTATCGAGCAATATCGATCCTTTTTTGACATTTGCAGCTGCAGCTCAAAGCAACAAACCAACACGTAGCCGAATACTAACATTCAAATTCTGGCGAAAATCAACGCGAGTATTGCACGTGACACCGGCTAAATTGAGCGCTAATTATTATGTAAGCGGATAACAGAAGCATCTTTTTCCCTTCTTGCCTGCTGCCAGACAAAATCGACTCGCCCAATTCTTCTTCCCACATCGTAACCGCTCAGAAGATCAGGAGTCTGGAAAGCGATGTGGACACATAGAACATCTGTTGCTTTGTAGATCTCGACCATATCATCCTCTTCACACCTCCTCAGCCTTTTCTCGCAGCACAATGTCGTTCCTCCTTCCTGGGACGGCCTCGCGGGCGCTCGCTTCTGCCTCGACTTCCAGCTCGCGTACCTTCAGCACTTCGATCGTCACATTGAAAAAGTCCAACCGTGCTCGTGGTGCTGCCAGAAAGTCGCCCCGTAACCAGGCTCTTTTCGCCGAGATCTCGCCTCGTCTCTCACCGAGACAAGGGGGTGTTGCTGCTGCCGGCGCAGGAGCCAAGTCAGGAAAGAAGTCCTCGAACAACCTGGAGCCCGAGGAGGGCGAGACACTCCTCACACTCGAACAAGCTTGCGAAGAGCTTAAGGTACACGGAGCTGCCAAGCGACCGCTGAACGCATTCGAAGTCCATGTCGTCACATCCGTATCGTCGCATCAGACCAATGCACTCCGAGGCCGAATCGCATACCCGAAAGACCCTAGGACCAAGCAGGAGCGTCTTCTGATCTTCGCCGAGGAAGGCTCGGAAGCCGCAGAGGCCGTCAAGGAAATTGTTCAGAAGGAGGCAGCAGCATCGTCATCATCGTCTTCGCAATCAGAGCCAGGGATCATCTTGGGGGGATCTGAGCTCATCTCGCAAGTGCTCAACAACCGTGTCACTGGCTTCACAAAGGTGCTTTGCACCAACACGCTTCTGTCCGAAGTCTCCAAGGGTTTGGCCAGGTCGCTGGGTCCCAAGGGTCTGATGCCCAATCCTCGTCGTGGAACTGTTGTCCCGTCCGATGACAGGAATTCGGTCTTGAATGCGATCCGCGAATCGAAGGGTGCTATGGACTGGAGGTCAGACAAAGTCGGCGTAATTCGAGGTGCTGTTGGCCGTCTCAACTTTGACAAGGACGACCTTAAGAAGAATGTCACCACTCTCCTCGACGCTATTGTGCAGAAGGTGCCAACGTTGGGATCGCAGCAGGCAGCACAGGGTGCTGGACAGGCCAAGGAATACACCCCCCGCGAGAAGAGGTCACCAGGCGAGCTCAAGAAGGCAGCCAACATCATCAAGCAGGTGCACCTCAGCTCGACACAAGGTCCAGGAATCAAGCTCGATTTGCGAGATGTTTTGGCATAGACGCATTTAATCCACGAATCATCAACACTGGTCTAGACTCTCATACTCGACTGTGCCATGTCAGCGTGAGCTTCGCTCTCGGCTCGTCCAACAAAGTAGCGTGTTATCGTATGGTATCGATCTAGGAGACTCCTCCTGGGCAAATCCCAACCGTTGACCCAGCGAGCAATGGCTCAAATGCAGCAGAGCATATTGTGGAACTTGCGCAAACGAGTCCACCGACAAGATGTGACTGGTATCTGAATAAATTTTATTCACTGGAACTCGTAGTGTATGTGACTTTTACTGAAATGTTATGGACAGGTGAAACAGGAGGCAAACGATCTCTCATAGGGCCCAGCTCTGCATGTTGGTGTAGTGAACGCCCTCGCCGTCAATTACACGGCCCATGACGACAGGTCGCTCACCAGCCTGTTGGAGAAGACCAAGGATCCTGTGCTGCTGCTCTTGCTGGATGATGAGGACCATGCCGATACCGTTGTTGAATGTCCTAGCCATCTCTTCGGGCTCGACATTGCCTGTGGCTTGCAACCAGTCGAACAGAGCAGGTCGCTGCCATGATGCAAGGTCGATCTCGACAGCCTTGCCAGGAGCAAGAATACGAGGAATGTTTTCTGTGAATCCACCTCCAGTGATGTGCGACAAAGCAAGTAGACCTTGTGCCTCAGAGAAGAGAGGTGTGAGAGCTTCGACATAGATACGGGTAGGAGCGATCAGGGCCTCGCCGAGGGTGGCGGCGGGTTTGGAGCCGTCCTTCTCTGCCGACCACGGGCAGGGTGCTGAAAGGCTGAGACCTGATCGGGAAAGAATCTTTCGGATGAGCGAGAAACCATTCGAGTGAGCACCAGAGCTGTGCAGACCAACGAGAACATCGCCGGCCTTGAGCTGATCCAGCAAAGGAAGGAGAGCCTCGCGTTCGACAGCACCAACAGCGAAGCCCGCAAGATCGTAGTCATCACCCTCGTACATGCCGGGCATCTCGGCGGTCTCACCACCAATAAGACCACACTTGGCCTGTCGGCAGCCCTCTGCGATACCAGAGATGACCGAAGCGGCGACTGGCACCTTCAACTTGGAGCACGCAAAGTAGTCGAGGAAGTAGAGTGGCGCCGCGCCCTGAACAAGCAAGTCGTTGACCGACATGGCAACGAGATCGATACCCACGGTATCGTGCTTGCCCATGTCGAGGGCAACGCGAAGCTTGGTGCCGACACCGTCAGTACCGGAGACGAGAACGGGGTCGCGCATGCCAATAGCCTTGAGGTCAAAGGTACCACCGAAGCCTCCGAGCGAAGCGTCGCAGCCTGGACGGCGTGTCGACTTGGCCAAAGGCTTGATCGCCTCAACAAGCGAGTTACCGGCGTCAATGTCGACACCGGCAGCGGCGTAGGTGAGACCGGCAGCTGAGGAGCCAGCAGCGGGCTTGAGAGCTCGGTGAGCGATATCACGTCGGAAAGTCTTTCCCTCAAACTGAACTGCATCGACACCCTTGTAGGCGAGCTCGACGGCCTCTTGAAGTGTGTTGCCAAATGCAGAGACAGCGATCACACGACCACCGGCAGTGACGAGCTGTCCGCTGGCATCGAGCTTGGTACCAGCATGGTAGACGGTAACATTCCCGGGGACTGCTCCGATGGTGATGGGGACGCCACTGGGGTATTTGCCAGGGTAGCCTTGGCTGGCGAGGACGATGCTGACGGCGTGCTGGTTGCGCACAACGGGCTTGACCGAGTCGAGGCGGCGCTCGACACAGGCGAGGACAATGTCGGCAAGGCTAGTCTTGGATTCATCGAGGAGCTCAAGGAGAGCCTCGGTCTCTGGGTCACCGAAGCGAACGTTGTATTCGAGAACCTTGGGGCCGTCAGCGGTAAGCATCAGGCCGACGAAGAGCATACCAACGAAAGGGAAGCCTTCGTTACGCATGCCATCGATAGTGGGGACAAGAATCTCCTTACGAATGCGAGCTGGGAGGTCGTCGACGAGACCTTCAGGGGCGGGAGTGTAGGCACCCATACCACCAGTGTTGGGGCCAGTGTCACCTTCACCGATGCGCTTGTGATCCTGGCAGCCAGGAAGAGCAGTGATGGTGTAACCATCGGAGAAGGCAAGAACCGAAAGCTCGGGGCCGACAAGCCTCTGCTCGATCAAGAGCGAAGAGCCAGCATCACCAAAGACCTTGTTGACGAGGATGTCCTCGACACCCTTGTGAGCCTCGGCATCGGACTCGGGAAGAAGGACACCCTTACCGGCAGCGAGACCTGAAGCCTTGAGGACGACCTGTTGAGCACCACCGAGCTTCTGGATGTAGGCGAGAGACTCGTCGACCTGCGAGGCGTCGAAGGACTGGAAAGCGGCGGTAGGAATGTTGTATTTGTCCATGAAAGCCTTGGCGAAGGTCTTTGAACCCTCCATCTGAGCAGCTACGGGCGAAGGGCCGAAGACGGGGATGCCGACCTTGCGGAAGGCGAGCTCGACACCATCGACAAGAGGCTGCTCAGGACCGGGGAAGCAGAGGTTGATGCGGTTCTGGACAGCCCATGCGGTGATCTCGCTGAAGTCGTGCGAAGGCTTTGGAGAGTCGAGATTGGTACAGCGCGGGCCGAGGGTAGCAGTACCACCGTTGCCGGGGGCGCAGTAGACGTGCTCTACGCGCTGAGAGCGAAGGAAGTGGTTGGCGATGGCATGTTCACGTCCACCAGAGCCGAGGATGAGGAGGCGAAGAGGAGCAGGTGATGGGAGCATCGACTGCAAGGGGATGTTGAGAGTGGAAGAAGGCATCTTGGGTCGCTTGCGAGAGGGCTCTTGTTGCACCTGCATGATACTCGGCCTCTGTGAGGAGACGTTCGAAGAGGAGATGCAGGGTGGAGGCGTAGAGAAGGATGGATGAGGGATGTTACTCGGAAAAGGCCGACCAGCGTAAAGAAGAAAGAGGCAGATGAAGATGTAGGCAAGTGTAGCGTTGGCCTGGTTGCGAAGAACAAGAAAAAAGGAAGCTTGCTTCGCTTCTGAGATTTGACTTGAGCACCTGTCAAAAAGGCGCTGTGGAAGTCTTGGAACCACCAAAACCCTTGGGAAAAGCGGGCAGCTGAGATTTGAAGCAAGACCCCAGGTTCTAACAATCTACGGTGCACCAATGGGGACAGGCTTGATCTAGTAGTACTGTGGCCAAAGCAGCCGATGTCGAACAGACTCTCTTGGCACTGACTCACTGAAGAGGCTTGCCAACCCTGTCGCTGCCGCATGGACCAGAGGCAAAAAAAATTCCAGAGTCTCGCAGCCAAAGTCTAATATTCTTCTTGACTAAATTACTCCGACTTCCGAGATAGGTCTGTCTTTCGTCCGAGTAGTAGCCTCACCAATGCTTGCCCGATTTGGTCGGATCGGGAGACAGAGATCCACGAGTCACATACCAAACACAGATAGAGAGATTTGCCAACATTATCAAAAGTGAAGCATGTTTGCAAGAAAAGTAGACTGCTCATCAAGATCTTCCAGTCGGAGCAAATGATAACTGTCGTTGAGTTGCGCCGCTTGAGCTGAATAGAATGTATGCCAATTGGGATAAAGTTATCGCGAGATCTGATTGTTTCTCAACGATCGTACACGCTTCTTTCTGAGACGGGCAAGGGAGAGGAGCTTGCTTCTGCGACCTTGCCTGAGCGAGAAACTGTAGGAAGTGGCGACCGTTCATGGACAAGGTTTGCAAAGTTGCCGCACAATTGTGCTGGCAGGGCAGCTTATCTGATATGCTAAGGGAAAAGTAATGGACAGTCACTTGTTCACTCTGCAGCGTTTGCCATTCCTTCGTGCGAGATCGGACTTGTCCTGGCGATCTGATAAACGAGAAGGTCAACTCTTCTGCCAACCAATCATACCGAGCGGCTATAGGTCCGGCATGAATGCCATCGACAAGGCACAGTGACAAACGAGGCCATTGGATGAATGCGGCTGAGGCCGGGGCGAGACGAAAAGATCCGTGTTACTCCGCTTATCTGATTTCTTAAACGCGCCGAAAAGCACGCTTAAGGTGAGAGGGAAAGAAAAGGACAGGCCAAGATTTGGCAAACTGGAGCCTATCAGATCGCCTCCGAGGCTACACGCATCTCTTTCGCTTGTGTTCCGACAGGCCAGCGTGACATTCTTACATCCTTCTTGGCGCTGCGGCATTGCCATTTGCGCTCACTGCGATCGGCTTCGAGAGAAGCGCATTCGTCTGCGTTCAAAGGTAGCACTGTGCAGACTGTTTCCTTGACATTGACTTGGGCAGGAATCCTCAAGCAAACTGATTCCTTTCAGAGAGAAGCGGACGGCCCGGGTCAAGGCAAAGCGAGAAGTGAGCTTGGGCATGAATGACGGCAATGCCCCAAGCTTTCTTCGAGACCGGCCAACTAGCGAAAGGCGGCTGACTCGAGGCTGCTTTGCTAGTCGAATCAATTATCAGATGACAATAGAGAGAGAGTCCGGGTTGAACTGTTGCGCGGTGAGCGAATTTCAATAATTCCACATCTCTGTCGACTGTCCGCTTTAGTCATACACTGATCATCCGCCTTGTCGAGGATTCGAATTTCACGCCACAGTAATCCCGCTTTCTTTCGGCGTTCACTTTCAGTCTCTGGCACTGCCAAGCCTCTACTGACACACACACACTCTCTCTCCAGTCAGCCTGCTCCGAAGAGTTCCGTCTGTCTTTGCCTCAGCTGCTCACTCTCAGATAACTTGTTGCCCTTGTGCTCAACTAACGGCCCCCACCCACTTCCTCCTCCTGCTCTTCCGCACCACCACGTCCAGAGACGCTTTCTACCACAACATCGACATATCCGCCTCTTGACTACATCCTTTGATACCTTTCTTGCACTCCGACCTTCTCTGACGTTCTACTCCTAGCGAACAACCATTGTGTCGTCCTTTCCTGTAGCCGTCTCTGGAGCAGCACGCTCGCTACCCACCACGGCTACCATTCGAGGCCCTTGCATCTGCTCAACACACTCTTTTCTGCACGCTCGGTACCATCGAGCGATCCACATAACCCCCATGGCACAGCCTATTCGACTCAAGAAGCCATCAGCTTCCACTTCGACATTTGGCGCCGCCGCTTCTTCAAGCATCCATACCACTTCCTCACTTGCCCTCCCTACCAATGCCTCCGAGGATCACACTCAGAACGTCGTCGTCCTCGGCGGCTCTTATGGTGGTATACACGCTGCTACCGTCCTCGCACAGAAGCTGCCTCCCACCCACCGGGTCATCCTCATCGAGCGAAACTCGCACTTCAACCATCTCTACGTCTTCCCACGTTTCTCAGTCTTGCCTGGCCACGAGCACAAAGCTTTTATCCCATACTCGAGCATCTTCAAGGATGCCCCTGCAAGACCAAAGTCGCATTTGAAGCGTGGCCGCTCCAGCACATCTCACCCAACTTCATCAAGTCGATCTACATCATCAGCTAACAAGTCGGCAGCCACCACTATCTCACGAAACGCACTTGAGATGGGTTCCACTTCGTCAGCTTCAGACGCCAAGGCTGATCCATCATCCTGTAGAGCCGCTGGTTCAGCCTCTTCGTCCAGTTCCATGCCTGATGTTTCCGAGCACTCTCAAGTCAATGGTGCCGTCTCGCCCGCATCGCTCAGTGGCAACGACGACGACGACGTCAACCCGTTCCGATCCGAGTCTCCAGCATCATCTCGTGGCCGATCACAGGACAGCAGACACTCATCTCAGTTATCGTTTGCAGACTCCGACTTTAACAACTCAGCGTACGAGGTTGCTAGCACCGCCGCTTCCTCTTATGTCGAGACCGATGCCAAGATAGCCGGTCCCAAGGGTGTCGAGTCTGAGCTTGCGAACAACGCCGCCAAAGCTCGGCAGGAAGAGCAGCTCGGCAGACCCGAGATTCAGGTTACCGAGCTTGCCGATGCGATCGAGCACCGTCTTGACCTCGATGGCGGTGAAGATGCCGAAAGCGATGACGAGATTGCGCAAGGATTCGAAAACTCTTCTCCACATATCGTGCTGCAGGCCACGGTCACTGACATTTCGCCGACGCATGTCACAGTGACACCCACCTCAACTTCATCTTCGCATCATCTCTCGCAGTTCTCCAAGAAGAAGTCGCTCTGGTCCATCGACAGTGTTCAGATCCCTTATTCACACCTCGTCTACGCTCTTGGTAGTCATTTGCCCGACCCTCTCCGCACTGAAGCACGCTTCAAGGCCGATGGTACTCACTGGATGCGCGAGATTCAGGAACGCGTCAAGGCGTCTAACGAGATCGTCCTTGTCGGTGGTGGTGCGCTCGGTGTCCAGTTCGCCACGGACATTGCTTCCGTTCACCCAGGCAAGAAGGTGACCTTGATCCACTCGAGGAAGCAGCTGTTACCTAACTTTGATGAGCGTGTCCACGAGATCGCTTACCACAGGTTGAAGCAGCTCGGCGTCAACGTAGTGCTTGGTGAGCGATTGGCGCTGACGGAAGGGTGCCCGCGAGGATCTACCGTTCAGAATTCTGCTGCCAATGCAGATGGAGCAAATGGTATGCCAGCAGCGGCAAAGGCAGCCACTGCAGAGATCTGCGTCCCCGGCGATGCTAAGGGTGAAGGGCTCCAGGCGCATCAGGAGGGCATGTGTGTAGGCAACGGACGCAAGCTCGTTCGCACAACCGGTGGCAAGTCTTTTGAATGTGACCTGTTGCTACTCTGCACTGGTCAGCAGCCCAATTCGTCGCTCATGGCCAAGCTCAGCCCCAGCTCTGTCGATCCAGGCAGTCGCCTTGTTCGTGTGCACCGATCGCTACAGGTCGCAGTCCCCGACCCAAGAGATGCAGCACAGCAGCCTTTCGACGCAAAGCCACCTTGTGGCGACTGTGACTGCTTCTTGGACAAGAAAGCAAACGGAGCAGAGCTCAAGAACGAAGAAGAGGGCCACCTTGCAGATCATCTTGGCCACACTCCAGGCAAGCTTCCCAACGTCTATGCGATCGGTGATGTTGCCGATGCATTCGGCGCCCTCAATGCAGGCTATCAAGCTTGGAACATGGCCGACATTGCCACAGAGAACATCCTCCGTGACATTCAGGCAAAGACCCCTACTCTCTCGCCTTCTGACGCACCTCGCTCACCACGCTCGCCAGACATGGTAGAGTTCAAGCCAGCAGTCAACATGTTGAAATTGAGTTTAGGGTTGGGCAAGATGGTCTTCCAAGGTGCTATCATGCCAGAAGACACCCCTGCTGATCAGGTCAAGCCTGAGGAGACGGGCAGCTTGGATGGCAAGGGCGGTAAGGATCTGATCATGAACGGTCGTGTTCCCGCTAAGCCAGAGATCACAATTAAGGACGATCCAAACGATTTGGGTGTCGAGGGCGTTTGGTCGTTTATGGCTAACGCCGATACAAGTGATATGTACAAGTAGGGATAGGGATAACATCCTGTGCTCACTCATTCTATTGGAATCGCATTGCATTGTCCCATCGATCAGAACATTTGTGTGTCAGACAGGGCTCGTCGTACACAGAACGTAACGATTTTTGAGCCATCTCAGCTCTGAGAAGGGGCAGCAGAAGCAACGTCAAGCGCGACTGCGATGTCCGCCAGGCTCCAACTGAATCTCAACCTACTGCTCGGGTCTCTCAGTTCTCCACCGACAGTCGCGATCCCTAGTCTGGCCCTGCTCGCACCGTTTGGGAGAGATGTAGGCTGAAAGGGCGAGCACTTGTCGTCGCCACATCCTTCCTCGCTCTCCTCTGTTTCTCCTGAGCGTGAGAATGGCGAACGAAGATACTTCGACGATGAGGAAGAAGAAGAGTACGAGATGGTCGAAGGAAGAGGGTTGAAATCGTTCGCCCGATGTTTGCCCCATCGAGGTTTGAGTGGTGCAGAGATCTTTTGCTTCTTGATCATGTCGAGTTCCAGCGAGAGCATGAGAAGGTGCGAAGAGTTGGAGAGCAGTCGGAAGCGGAATGGCTGTGGACCAGAGGAAGAGCTACAGGCTGGACTAGTGGCGCTTCTGCCACGTCCCGGTGGAGCCACGTTGCGCGCATCATCCTCGACGCTGTCTGAACCATCTTCAAAGATCTCCCCTGCGCGAGGAGGGTAGGATGGCCCCCGACGAAGACCTTCGAGCCCACCCAAGAGCAGCGGCTGCGGTGCAGTTGGACGTTGGCCGACAGATGAGTTGACCACTTTAACTGCACCTCGTCGGCCGCGCGAGCCTCGCGGCGGCGAAGGATCGTCTTCGCTCTGCTCTTCCGAGTTGCCTTCACGAGCAGCTGCAGCTGCTGCAGCGTAGGTCAAATCAGGCGAAGATCGAACACTGCGGATGGGCGTAGACAGATTGATCTGCGATCCTTCTCGGCGACCGCTTCGACGCGAGCGTGGAGTGGAGTTGGCTGGGGTTGTAGAAGAAGAAGCAGCAGATACACCTCCTCCGAATAAGCCTACTGCACACTGACGGTTCGATCGACGAGGTGAAGGATCACGACCACCACGCCCCCGACTTTGTCTTGCCCAAGTTGGTGATGGAGTGACATCACCATCCGAGTCAGACCCGTCGGCATTCTCCTCGTCCTCTTCGATCGAGAAGGCAGAATAGCCCTGCGGAACAGGTGCATCTACTTTCGGACGCAGCGATCGAGGGCCAGAAGAGCGTCGACGATGTCTGCGCCGCACCACGCGGAAACCATCGGCGTCAACCGAGCTTCGTTCCCGTCCCTCTCCCTGACGCGGCGGAGACGGAATGCTATCGGTCTCATCTGCGCGCGACGCAGACAACGATGTGGCGCTCTTGCGGAAAGTGGGCGAAGTGGGTGCGGAAGCGATATCAGTCGGGGCTGGGACATCAGCGAAAAGGTCACGTCGTCCACGGCCCGATCTCGTACTCGAAGCCAGGCTCGGCTGAGGAATCTGGACAGTAAGCGGCTCTGAGAGGGCGTTCCTCGCATCCCGCTGCTGCTTGAGTCTGCGTTGCGAGGGTGCCTGCGGTTTCTCCTCTTCCGTTGGCTCGAGCTCGATGGGTTGACCAAGCTTCTTCGGCGATCGAGCAGCAGTTGTAGTCTCTGGCTGGCGACGACCGTTGTTGCACAAGTCTTCGGCGGCTTGACCTCGGTGACCGACATCCGCCGGCCTGCTTCTACTGCGACTGCGAAAAGTCTGAAGTTGAACCACGGAAGACAGCTCAGTGTCAGGGTCGATGGGCTGTCCGAGACCAGAGACGTACGCGGAAGGGTCACGATCGGCCTCCAAAGGCGAAGCCACTCCTCTTCCTCGACGCAATGCGTTGGTTACATGATGGACGGACTGAGCCAGGTCGGAGCCGCTGATACTATCGTTGCTGCTCTGGCGCGAGCCAAGGAGAGAAGCTGGGGGCGATGGACTTGGCGAAGGGGATGGGGGTCGGCCGGTCTTGAGTGCGACCTTGCGTTGAGCTTGCACACTCTTCTCGTCAGCAGGGCCGTTTGCAGAGCTGGCAAGCCGGTAAATTTTTGCAAAGTCATTCTTCGATGTTGAGGGAGCTGAGCGATGGCCGCTGGCACTGTCCGAACCCTCGCCTTGGGCCTTGTTCGCGGATGCAAGCGATTCTCGCGCTTGTCTTGCGGCAAGACCGGGCAGGAGGATGAGGTTGGGAAGGCGCGCCAGATTGCGCCAGCTTGCCGACAGGAGACTGACACTGTTCGAGTCGGCATCCTTTGTTTCAGTTTCACCCTCGGTCTGACCTTCAGAGATCGGAGAGATCTGGCGAACTCTGGGTGCAGCTGTTGTGTCCTGGGTGCGTGACCAGATGCGCAATTGACTCTGAAGACTAGCGAGGCGCGCCTGGTAGCTGCTGGCAATTTGCGAAGGTGGTGAAGTGCTGATGGTCGTAGCATGACTGCGATTCACGGCGCCGCCAGTGCTAGACTTTGCCGGCTGTTCTTCGTCACTCTCAGGCTCACTCTCAAAGTCGCCAATAATCCACGAAGATTTCTTGACTTGCTTGGGCGATGTCTTTCGCTTGACTCTTGCAGATGTTTGCTGGGCGGTGATGGCTTCCTCTGGGAAGAACTCGACTTTGTCAACTTGAATCATATCTTCGACACTTGGGATGGCGAGGCCAAGTAGAGGATCCGCCTCCGAGGCCACGGGTGTCGCGACAATGGGTTTTAAAGTAGTGAAACCTGGAGGGCTTCGTTGGACAAGTGACGTAGAAGGCGTCGAGGCGGCGGGAGAAGGATCGTCGCTGCCATCGGTAGAGGAGGGTACCTGACTGTGAGTTGATGTTGCGCTTGTCGAAGCGTTGCGCACGCCGTCATTTGGGCCTGTAGAGCGGTTTCTGCGCTCTCTGATGGGAATAGCGGCGGTGTCTCCACCTCGAGGAACGTAGTTGAGGTCGCAGCTGCTGGCGCAACTCGAGGGTGAGGATGACGTCTCAACATCGGAGACGTCTTCGCCTGCAGCACGCGACCCTCTAGCAGCCAAGCGGCCACGACCATGACCACGGGCAGGCGCCTTTGAATCCGGATCATCGAGGGCAGGAGAATGCTCTGGCACTGCGGGTCGCTCTTGCAATAGAATGCGCATGCCTCTTCTGCGCTCACGTTCGATGCTGGACCAGCGACGAATTCGTCGGCGATGTTCCGCAACCTTGTCTGCATGTGCGTTGAGCTCCTCGGTTGGAGAAAGGATCGGACATTCGTCGTCATCATCCGAAGGGAACAGGGCCTCCTCCTTTGCAACGGAGAGCCGGCGGCTGGATGAGCGAGCCTTCGATTCAGAGTTGGGCGACGGGCCAGCTCTGCCGGACGTTACAGATGACCTGTGTAGAGCGCGCTGCGAGGCCAAATCTTGGTCGCTAACTTCGTCGCCCTCGCCCTCGCCCTCGCCCCCGCTGCCGCTAGCACTGGCGCCGCTCAAAACACTGGCACTGGCGCCCCTTCGATCCCATCTGCGACTAGGACTGACATTGATGCTACGACCACGACTGGCCTTGTATAAGGATGGTAGCGCCGCAGAGGCGGCAGTAGCGGAGGATTTGTCCGGCGCGGAAAGCGAAGCAGAGACGGCAACGGGCTGGCCGAGAAGGGAGGCAAATTGCGATGCACTGCCGGTGGTATGGGATGTGGTGAGGGCAGAGCGAAGTGGACTGGGAGCAACGGAACGCGAAATGGGATCGCGGGCTTTGCGGACCCTGCGATCCCTCTCTAATGGTGGTGGTATGGACGACAATTGCTGCGTCGCATGTGCGGTTTGAGTGGCATGGGCTGTGGAAGCTGGTGATCTGAGTTGTGATGTGGATGTCGGCGTTCGTGGCTCGACGTCTGTTGAAGAGTCTTTCAGTGCCGTACTGATGCCTAGTGTTCTTGGTGTAATGTTTGAGTGGTCGAATCCTGCCGGCACAGATAGACGATCCAGTGCTTGCGAAAGCTGACGGGTGTCATCTGAGGATGCGTTGACATCCTCGCCGCTGGCTCTGCGTTTTCCCTTGGCAGTATAGGAAGGGCTAGAGTAGCTGTTCCTCTCGGGCGAGTCGGGTGGGGAGTGGGGAGAGGATGCGGATGCGGATGCTAGTGCTGGGTCGGAAACATTCGATGTGCTGGGCTGTGACATGCGTGCATCGATGACAGTGCTGGAAGAGAATGAAGAAGCTTTCGAGGCTTGAGACTGAGGAGTGGCGCATTCGGAGGCCATGATGGTCGGAGCGTCCTACGCTATCGATCCTCAACGCCTTAAGGAGTCAAGAGGAGGGAAATACTACCCATGGATTCGCAACACCACGACAGGCGGCTAGTAGGCTGGATGCTGAGCGCAGCAAGATGAAAGACTTCGGATTCGCCGATGACGATAATAGAGTGGTGGAAAAGAGGGATGCTGATTTCAAGCGATGGAGACCGATGAAAGGAGGCACTGGTGATTAACGCTGTCGGAGGAGATCCATCGGATGTTTCGGTTCTGTAGGTCAGCGTCTGTCGCAGATGAAGAGACCAAGTCGATCGAAGATGGTATGAAAGGAGTTGAAAGAGTCGGCGGCAGTTCCGAAACCTTATTATAGATGCTGCTGCTGCTGTAGGCCAATGTCGAGCGTGCTTTTCAAATGGCGTAGATGGCCGTGCCGTGGGTGTGCCGTGGTGTGCCGTTGCGCGTCGCGAGGGGGACTGTGCGTGCGTGCAGAACTTTGAGCTTTTCACGGAGTTGCCGATGATCAACTGAAAAGGTCGATGTAAGGATGTGATGGTAGAGGAGGACAATGCTGTGTGTGGCTGAGACGGTGAGAATACAATGTTCGAGCCGAGTCGAGACGATGTCGAATCTGTGACTTCTCGACAACCGGCCACACTCAGAAATGAGAACAGCACAAAGAGAGAGATCACCCGCGGAAATTGGAGAGAGATGGTCAATCGAAAGCGTTGTGGCTAATTTTACGCTCTCTTTCTGTGTGACACTCACATTACACTGCTCTAGTGGGCGGCTGGCTCTGCTTTCGAAACAGCCGCGCGAGCTCTAAACTAGGGTATCGCTGCTAACCCTGGCAATGCGTTCCTCAATGCCTTCGCAGTCTGTCTGGTTTCCTGTCTCTGGCTGCTTGGGTTGACACTGTGCCATGGTGAGCTGCAGTTCCAAGATGAGGGCACCAAAAGGATGCAGGGTGCCTTCGGCTCAGATACACAACACCCTCGCAAATTTGATCTCTCTGCGACGAGGGCGCCTTGACTGTTGCCTGATCGTGGCACTTGACGGTGCTCCAAGCAGTGAGAAGTGTATGGATTGCCCAAGTGACCCTGAAGAAGCTGGAGAGTGGGCTGCTGCTTCAAATCAGAATTCGTTGATTTTCAATTTTTCTTTTCTTTCTGTGGCTTGGGAGGGACCACTCACGAGGCTGCTATTTCGCCTGCATCATCAGAGGAGCTTTCTTATTTTCATATTGGTCTCAAGTTCTTTCCTACTGGCGCTGTATAATGCTGCGTCGTCGCAGATGAGTCCATCTTTGGCAATGGCGCCGATGACCTTGACCTCTCCACAAACAAGGATGCTATTTGACATGGCGGCTCTTCCAGAACGCTTTTACTGAAACGACAGCTTCAAGCGACCTGCTGGACAGCAGCGAGGCGGAAGCAGGATTTGCGCGTTTCGAGTCTGAAAAGCTTTGTCTGTGGTCGGTCGCGTTGCAAGAGAGTGGCTTCAAGGGTCTTGCTCTTCTCGCACCGCCTTACCCTCATTTGCAAGTCTAGCAAGATACAGCTTGCCCTTGTCGCCAGGCGGTCAACACTGAGCCTCTGGGGCTGCTGTCTGCATAGTGGTTGAGAATGAGTGCATTTACGAGGAAGGTCATCACAGTTGTGTAGCAAAGCATGATCTTTGTGAGGGTATCGACAATCCAGCTTTCGATGCTGAAGTGTCCTTTTTCGTGGACAGATAAAGCAAGGCCACTCCTAAGGCGACATATGCCTAACCCTAACCTGAGTCAGCGACGTCTATGCAGTCCTAGCTGGCACCTCGCTACTGCTGTTGTCGGCCAAAAAGGAGTTGGCTCGCGATACGTTTCGCGAAGCGTTCCTCGACGGGTTTCGAGAAGCGTTGCGAGAAGCGTTGCGTGAAGCAGCGCTCTGCGACATGTAGTACGAGTTGCTGCGAGAGCCAAGACCCGTCATTGGTCGCTTAGGCGCTCCCGTCAATCGGTCTTTGTGTCCATCGTGTGTGGCAGCACCCTTTCGCTCGGCATCGAGCTGCTGGGCGAATGGAGATCGCTTTCGCAAAACAGGTCCTTTCCAGTAGATGACGTACACCGCCACAACCAATACAGTAGCAACACAGAACAAGATGGTCGAAGCATACTCGAGATTCCGGCCTTTAGATCGTCCAATGTTGGTGTAGAATGGCGTAGCAGGTACGGTTAAGACACCCGCCAAAAAGTCTCGAGACCAACCGTTTCCTCCTGTTGCTGAAGCCGAGTAGGGACCATAGGCAGCTATCATATAGTCAATCGTCGAGCCGTAAATAGCGTAGTTACTACAGCCTATGAGCGCAGCGAATACCATCGTACCAATCCAGTGGACGGGAGGACCTACTGAGGTCCAAGCAAAACCGATCAAACCGACGGGGAGCAAAGGGGCGGTAAAAAGCAGCCACCAGAGACGCGACTCAAATTGCGCGTGCTCGCTGTCCGGTCTTGCCGCCCTGACCTTTTTCTGTTGTCCAATTGCAACTGCAAAGATTGCATAGCCAATAAAGTAACCAACCAGCAAAGGCAAGAAGGACAGACCGATGTCGACGGTGCTGAAGTTCCACTGCTTGTACACGAGCGAGTAGGACTGCAAGAAAATAAAGATAAGAGCGTCACTAAAACCGGAAAGGAGCGAGAGAACCAAAACGATGGGCTCTGTCAAGAACATGCGGAAAGGTCGAATCCATGTGACGAGGACTTCTTTGAAAGAGAAGCGCTCCTTGAAGGGAAAAAGCTCGTTGGGACCATAGATGTTGGCGTTCTTGCCCGATTTGCGCCATTTCTTTGCGATACGATCCATCATAATGGTAGATCGTGTCTCCGGAACAAAGAAGAGGTGAATCAACTGGATGGCACCACCAAAGATGAGCTGAATCCAGATGGTCCATCGCCAGCCGAGGTTGGCTTCAACGAATCCACCTACAACAGGACCTAACACCGAACCGCCGACCGAGGAGAAAACGACGTAGGCGACAGCATGTTGCTGGCTCTCGGCATCCCACATGTCGGCAATCATTCCGAGAGTAACGGAACCACCAGCAGACGAGAGACCACCAAGGAATCGACCGACCATGACGGAGGCAAAGTTCGGGGCCAACGCAACAGGAAGCTGCCAGACATTGACGAGGAAAAGACTGAGCTGGAGGATGGGTTTGCGTCCAAGCTCCTCCGACCAAGGAGCCCAGAGCTCACAACCGAAGGCGTAGGCAACCAAGAAGATCATCGCACCACATCGAGCAGCTTGCAGGCTGACGTCAAACTCTTCCGAAATACCGTTAAGACCGTTGGAGTAAAGCGAGGTGTTGAAGTTCATCGAGACCTGGATCCAGAAGATGACGGTAAGGATAGTCCACTTCTTGAAAGATGAGAAATTGTAGCCTAACTCATCGTAGCAGTCTTGCTCGGTGATCTCGATCTTGCCGTCGGCTCGCATACTGGTCAAGGTCCTGTCAAGCTTCTCGGCGTTGAAGTGGGCATGAGCCTGACCGGACTCGGAAGGCTGGGTATCGGTGTTGACTCGAGCGTCACCAGGTGAAGACGAGTGGGTCGGAGAGCCGCCAGCTGCTTTCTTTTCGTCCATCATGGATATATCGCGCAGCAGCAGGTGATGACAGAGGAAGCAAAAGAAGGAGGGGAAAGCCTGCTAGGAAGAAGATAGACGGTATGAAGCGCTCATTTATAAAGAACCCCCTTGTCGGCTTTGTCAAGAACGGTTTGCTTCCCTCCAACTCCGGATGTTCGGATGGGCTGACGAGGCTTGAGCTTCCCCAGATCGACCTCGACTCTCATTTGCTGCCTCAAACACGGCCTCATGCACAAACTTACACCAAGTGTGGTCAGAGCAGCGTGGTTCAATCGAGCAGAGGCCGCGCAAAACTGCTGCTCTTCCAACGGGATTGTTTTGACCGCCGATTTGAGCCAAGTCGCCGACCGTTCGAAAGTTGCTCCCTGTCCCGCCCCTTCGCTAACCGAGAATCAGCGTTCTTCAAGCCTCGCCTGACCAGCTCCTTTTACTGTTTGCCGTCGCACACTCGTCCCTCTTCAGAGTCTTCTGTCTTTATTTTCATTCTTCCGGTTGTACTACTTCTCCTGCAATGGACTGGCTTTGAAGGTCAAGAAAGTCTGATGCGATTGCGATGTTGAAGACTGGCAAAGACGGCGGCGCAGAAAACGGCAGGCAGGATGACGCTTTTCTATTCGGAGAATTTAATGCATCACGTGATCAGTCATGAAGGCCTGCGTGTCTCGGCTGGACTCAACAATCGAATTCTTCCGCTTCTCCGCTCCGCTCTTCACAACATCATTTCGCTTCTCCGCTCCTCTCTTCACTACCTTCATCTCCACCAAAGCCAGGCGTACTATTAGCAGCCTGGTTCGTTGTTATTTGCCCTCCCTGTACACCCTCCCTTTCCGCTCGTTTCTGCACTCAACTGGCCCCTGTTGCAGCGGGCCGGGAGCCTCCTTGTCAAGCTTCGGGGGCCTCACAGGTCTTTGCCTGCAATCCACTTAGTTTGTTCGTGTTATGTATATACAATTTCGGTTTTGTTTCGTGCGATTAAGTCCAGGCGGGATATCAGTTGAAGTAGACAAAGCCGCACAAAGCGTGGAGACCGCGGAGGTAGTGTTTACGGCCGAGTAAAAGGCTTGCACAAAGGGAGCTCAGCAGTGCAAGCGTGCGTGTGTTGCGAGCGTGTGTGAGTGGCGAAGACTTGGAAATCCTTGACTCGCGTTTGTATTTAGAACCATCATCATCAACGAAAACTCTTCAACTATCTTCAACTGATTAAGAGTCTGAAGCTTGGTGCAATGCCACCATCGACAAGAGCTGGACAGATGGGAAGAGATGATGATCAAGCGACTGCAGGAAATGGACGAGAGGAAGGATGGCTCACGCAGGTAGTCAGAATCCTCCAGTTAGCAAACCCAGCACTAACGGCAGAGGAAGCAATAGTATGGGCCATGGGTCTGGTCAACATTAGCAACCAAGCTCCACGCGGGGAGACCGAAAAGATCCCCAAGGACGTATCAAGCTCCATTGCTCACATCAAGAAGCTCAGCGATAGCAATTGGCACACCTGGGAACCCACCTTTATCGACTGCCTCCAGAGAGTGCACAATGCGAAGGAAATCCTGTACAGTACCATTGTACCCGGGAGCAAGGAATACGATGAAGACCTAGACAAGGCACTCGTGGGCCTCATCCACGCCTGCTGCAATAACAGCCTGGATAGCTGCATCGACACCTACACCATCAGAGGGGCAGATGAAGAAGTTCAACTTGGCAGCACACTCTATGCCAAACTCAAGAAGGCACTAACACTAAATGACACTGTAAAGCGAGCAGGACTGCAGGATCGTATCCACACAGTGCGCTTGCACAATCGAGACGTTGTCAGGCTAGGCAAGGAACTCAATTCAATCTGGAACGATGCGGCACGCCTCAGAAAGCGTTTCGATGAGGACCTCAAGAAATCAACTCTCTATCACTGCATGGCTCAAGATTGGTTCTATGCCAACACCGTCAATGCACTGAATATGGCCAGACCAGACTGTAAGTATGACAAAGCCTACCACGTGCTCGCCAAGAAACAGCAGGATGGTGAGATCACTGGCCGTATTAGAGGAGCAGCAAGGGTCGCCACAAGTGCGGAACAGGGGAGCGCCAACCAGGCAGAGCAAGGACCCAGGGGCAGGTGCGATCCTCGCAATCCCTTGGCCCCTCCAAAGTGCTACGCTTGTGGAGGACCAAATCACATTGCTCGAAATTGCACAAATGCACCAGGCACAAGTGAACCTGTTGCCCATATGACACAAGAGGTGAATCACTAGGAACTCGGGTGCACCTTCCTAGTGGTTGACAGGGGCGAGCGATCAGCATGCGACACCTGGATCATCGATTCAGGTGCAACCCATCATATGGTAAATGATGAGAGAATGCTGCTCACCTCGATGAACAAGGTTGGCCAAATCAGTATGGCAGGGGACGAAAAGCTTCAGGTGAAGGCTATAGGAGATGCCTCCCTTTGGGTTGGTGAGGCCACCATCCAACTATTGGATGTGCTTTATGTACCGAAACTGAATGCTAATTTATTGTCTGTACAAGGCTTGATCGAGAATGGTGCACGAGTAATCTTTGACGAATTTGGAACTACCATAAAGCAGAACAATGGTACCCAAGTACAATTCAAAAGGGACAGAAGACAGGGTCACTTCAAAGTGCGAGGACAAGCACTGGCTTTGGAGCTGGAGGAAACACGAGATGATGTCCCAGAGGACAACGAGAACACAGAAAGACTAGACAACATCCCAGCAGACAACCAGAACACAGGAAAACTAGATAATGCCCCAGAGGGCAATAAGGACACAAAGCATCGAGACAGCTACCTATGGCATGAGAGGTTTGGACACCCAGGATGAGACAAAACGAGACAAATCTGGGCTCATTACCTAGGTACTGATGAGGAAATGGAACATGAGTCGAAGTGCTGTAACACGTGCAGCCAAGGAAAACAGACTCGAGCATGGATGGGCCAATCAGAGTCGGCAAGAATGGGAGCACCATTAGAGCTGGTACACGTAGACCTGATGACAGATTTCAAAGGACACGCCAACTACCACTATGCACTAGTTGCTGTGGACAACTTCTCCTCTCTAATCTATGTGGAACCACTCTGCACCAAGAGTGCTGCACTCACAGCACTGAGGAGGTGGATAGCCAGGATGGAACGGGCAACGGACAGGAAACTTAAAACACTCCGCAGTGACAATGGAGGAGAATGGTGCAGCTTAGAAGCTGAAGACTGGCAAACTCGGGAGGGTTTCAAGTGGCAAAAGAGTGTCCCGGGGATCAGCATCCAAAATGGACGGGTGGAGAGAGCAATCAGATTGGTCCAAGAAAAGATGTGCTCGATGCTGATTGGTCATGCTTGCCCCAGAGAGTTGTGGCTGTATGCAATCACAGCAGCAGCACACATTATGAACCTTACCCTGTCAGCCACCAAGACCATCCCCCACAAGGTCTTTTATGGAACCACCACACACAAGCTGGCCCAGCAGCTGCAAGTCTTTGGATGCTTGGCATGGGTTCATGTTCAACCGAAGGACCAGCAAGGCAAGTACAGGGCTAGAGCAAAGCCAGCCATCATGATTGGGTATGATGACGAACACAAAGCATGGAAGTTTTGCAACCCGGACCAGCCTGCGTCAATTCAATGGAGCAACTCAGCAACGTTCCATGAGGACAAAGGATGGAGTGATCGCCAACAAGAGGCAGTCAGGCCCATGGTGACCGTGGAGGTCGAGGAGGAGGGTGTCACGCCAGCCATAGTAGAGGAGGAGACCAGATCAGAGACCGCAGTGGAGGATCTCCTACCAGCCGTAGACAGCACAGTGGGTGCCGCCAACACAGCAATACTGAACCTGGACCCAACGCTTGGGGAAGCAATGAATGGTGAGGACGCCCAGCTCTGGAAGGAGGCAATACGAAAGGAGCTAGAAGGACTTGAGGCAATGGGGACTTGGGAGGTGGTGCACCAACCACCAGGAGTACCACTTGTGGACTCTAAGGTTGTGCTTCGGCTGAAGCTTGATGCTGATGGTGTACCTGTTAAGCACAAAGCGCGACTGGTTGCAAGGGGCTTCACACAGAGAGAAGGGATCGACTACCAAGAAACCTTCTCTCCAGTAGCACCTCTCGGAGCAATCAGAGCCATCTTAGCACTGGCAGTGCAGAACAACTGGGAAGTGCAAGCTCTGGACATCACTATGGCTTACTTGAACTCCACATTAAAGGAAGCAATCTACATGAAGCCACCGGAAGGATCAGGAGTAGCACCCAGCAAGGTGTACAAGGTAGTTAAGGGCCTATATGGCCTAAAGCAGTCTGGGCAAGAATGGAATCAGGAGTTCAACAGGTCTTTGTGATGCATGGGATTCTTCCAGGTAGAGTGTGCTCCCTGCATCTACACCAAGGGACAGGGTGAAGATATGGCCATTGTGGTGATCTATGTCGATGACACATTAGTCATAGCACCACGGCTGGAAACAGTCCTAAAGGTTAAGAAGCAGATTGGTCAGAGATGGAAGATGGAAGATAGTGGTGAGGTCTCTCACTTCCTGGGCATCAAAATCAGTCAAAACCGTGCAATGTGCACCATGATGATTAGTCAGTCAGGGTACATTGACCAAGTGCTGGCAAAGCACCTGGACAAATGTACAAAGCCGACCATGGTTCCAATGCAGAGCATACTGGAGGGAACCCTTGTCACAAGTGCAGCACAACAGAGGGAGTATCCGGTGATTGTTGGCAAGCTGCTCTGGGTTGCCAACAGCACCCGGCCCGACCTTAGCCTTACTGTGGGTGTTCTTGCTAGACACATGTGTGAACCATCACAGGAGCATTATCAGGCAGCACAAAGGGTCCTATGCTATCTCGAAAGCACAAGGCAGGTTGGATTGGTTTATAGGGCAAGTGAGTCACAAGAGCCACTGGTCGCACACAGTGATGCAAACTGGGCAAGCGATGCCACCATACAGAGAAGGAGCACATCGGGGTCAGTGGCGTTAGTGTATGGGAATCCAGTAGCCTGGAAGTCAGCGACACAAAGATGTGTGTCATTGTCTGCTGTCGAGGCAGAGTTCATTGCAGCCACGGAAGCAACACGTGAGGTGCTCTTCCTCAAGCAGCTGCTACGCTCAATTGGCATTGCCACAGGCACACCGACAGTCTACTCGGACAACACTGGTTGCATACAGGTTAGTAAGGACCCAGCACAGCACTGGAAGCTTAAGCACATCGACACCAAGTATCACTTCATCCGTAACAACGTCCAAGAGGGAAGGGTGCAGATCAAGTACGTAGACACCACAAGAAACTTGGCAGACATACTCACAAAGCCCATTGGGAGACAGGCAATGCAGCAAGCAAGATCTGGGCTACACCTGCAAATACCGGCAGTGGTGTACGAAACGGGGTCCCCAAGCTATGCGACAGTATTGAAGAACGGAGGTCACACCTTGAAAACAACAGCATAATGAACAGGGTACATATACTGTTGAGGGGGGGAGTTGAAGTAGACAAAGCCACACAAAGCATGGAGACCACGGAGGTAGTGTTTACGGCCAAGTAAAAGGCTTGCACAAAGGGAGCTCAGCAGTGCAAGCGTGTGTGTGTTGCAAGCATGCGCGAGTGGCGAAGACTTGGAAATCCTTGACTCGCGTTTGTATTTAGAACCATCATCATCAACGAAAACTCTTCAACTATCTTCAACTATATCGAGGAGAATTTAGAGCGCTCAGCCAAAAAATAAATAAAATGGCCGTTGTGAATGACGTCAAGCAACATGACTGCATTTGAGCACACTGGGTCATGTGCTTGCTCCGCTTGCTCCGCTTGCTCCGCTTGCTCCGCTTGCTCCGCTTCCTGTGATTCTACAATTCTTTGCTCGTCTTTGGTCGAGAACGACACCTTTTGCCGGCGGGGCTCCTCTGAATTGGTTCACCTCGGGCACCCGTCCGAAGCGAGCGCCGACAGTGAACCCTGGAATTAGGATGCCTTGGTCATCCCAACCCGGTCGTGGCGCTCTCTCAAGTTGTGCATTGACTCCCTGCTGATGTCGACATTGTAGGTTCGGACTTGAGCGACAAGAGCCTTTGAGCAAGTGGCTTACTATCAGGAACGCTTCTTTCCCATCTAGACCGTAAGCAGCTGTGACGATGCCTTCGGCAGCAGAGCCTGTCACATTGCGGTTCGAATGAATCTTGCCCACACTTGGCCTTTCGGCTTGCTATTTGTCCCAGGAAGTCAATCCTGCTTAGATCAAAGCACCTTCTTCGAGCTGCCTCGAGATAGAGATGGTCACCAGCCTCAGACAACAAGCTGAAATGCGACGTGTGAAGAGTGAGCTTGATTGATGGCGTTAAATCTTGAGCCAAATTATCGGAAGACCATCCGAAAGCATAGTTTGAGGCTGCTTTCAAGCGCTTGAGGACACTGTCAATTGGCTCTTGCTTTGGTCATCCCAGGCCAGCGTGCGCTCGTAGGCTGAGCTTCTTAGGATGACATTGCAGTCGTGATAGGTTTCAAACCCATTCAGGAGATACAGGCAGCGGGTCAGATCATATCAACGGAGAGCATCGCAAGATCCATCGGGCCGACCAGCAATACACGACTACAACAATCGTCCTTTGTCCAGTCAGGCGCACTTCACTTCGGCCTTCAGACGAGTGATTGTGCAGTGCTTAACTCGCAAGAAGCGCATCACATGCTATCGCGACATACACTCTCAACCACCGCCGAAGACAATGCAAGTGTTGAGGCCAACTCAAAACGAATGGTTGCAAACCAACGCAATCCAAGGGCGACCGACTCTTTTCCGAAATCTCCTGATCCCACTAAAGCCTGATCTATGCACGATAACGTGCGCTCGACACCTGTCAGCGAGGCGGATGTTTCCAGCATCTCTTCCTTTTCTTCTTCTGCTGCACCTCATTTGCAATCTGCTCAGCTATCTCATGGCTCGTGCATCACCACCAGGGACTTGGAAAAGTGTCAAGTGGTAATCTGCTGCCACACTATCCATCTGCGACAAGAAGATGCTTCTAGAAGCATCCTCCCATGACAACCGAACATCGACACTTGCCGAACAGGCTCTCTGCATTTGCAATGCGACTCGAGCACTAACTTCTGAGGACATGAAGCCTTGACCAGACCGGTCCTCGCACGGAGCAACTTCAGCTTCGTACTCAGAGTCTTATGACCCCCCCTTGCACGTGCAGAATCGAGCGTCGAGCTCATAAATTAACCTCAACGTGCCATCGCACCCCACCCAAGAACCATAGAGTGCGGACAAGAGCGTGGGATGAGGCGACGGGAAGCAAGCCGGCACGGAGTACCGTGGGGGTAAAATCGAGAATGCCTCGTCCTCTCACTCTGTGCTGAAGGGCTGGTGGTACTCTGAACGAATGCTCTCGCATGCGTGCCAGTCCAAGGAGAACTCGAACGACATGCATATATAAAAGCAGCGTGTCAAGTGCTTCCATCCTCACGTCTTCACACCTTATCCCACGCTCAGTCAAGCTACACGATCATAGCGGTCAACAATGCCTAGCGACAAGATTGTCTTTTTGACTAACTGGCAAGCCGTGCCTTACCATCTTCCTGTCTATCGCGCCCAGTCTCAGGTGAGCATTGCAGCCAGCCAATTCTAACTCGACCAATTCTAGCTCGAGCTTGCACGCGTAACGATGAACCTGACTTTCATCCTCGTTTTTCCTAGGGCTACTTTGCCGACGAGGGCATCAAAGTCGCCATTATCGAGCCCAACGACCCCAGCGATGTCGTAAGTACACATCACATCGTGTTTGGGACAACTTTGTCGGGATCGGTCTGGCTCACACTGCTGCTTCATACATTCTATTCCGCAAAGACTGAAATCATCGGCACTGGCAAAGCCGACATGGGTCTGAAGGCCATGATCCACACTCTTGCTGCCAAGGGTATGCGTGGCTACCCCGTCACCTCCATTGGAACGCTTATGGACGAGCCTGCTACAGGCATCATTTATCTCGAGGGTAGCGGTATTACCACCGACTTCCAGAGTCTTCGTGGCAAGCGCATCGGCTACGTCGGCGAATTTGGCAAGATCCAGATCGACGAGTGAGTGCTGATTTCTCGCAATCGAAACTATGATCCCATTTTGGAAGAACAGCCAACTGACTACATTTGGATCGCACAGACTTACCAGCCACTTCGGCATGAAGCCAGAAGATTACACCGCTGTGCGAGTTGGCATGAACGCAACCGAAGCCATCATTGATGGCCGCGTCGACGCCGCCATCGGCCTCGAGAACGTGCAGATGGTAAGCATAAATCACCAAGCCCACACTGCTTCCTATAATTAAAGGTCTGACCCTTACCATGCTTACTTCTTACGTCCGCGCTCATGTTTCCCAGGTCGAGCTCGAAGCCTGGTGCGAGCAACAGGGTCGACCCAAGACCGATGTCAAGATGCTCCGCATCGATGAGCTTGCCGAGCTCGGATGCTGCTGCTTCTGCTCCATCCTCTACATCGCCAACGACAGCTTTGTCAAGCAGAACCCCGACAAAGTACGAGCCTTCATGCGCTCGGTCAAGCGTGCCGCCGACGACCTCTTCGCCCAGCCTCAGCAGGCTTGGGAAGACTTCAAGCGCTTCAAAAAGAGCATGCAGAGTCCTATCTATGCTCGCATCTTTGAGCGCTCCTTCGCCTACATGTCGCGCGACTGTGCCAATGGTAGGTCACCTCATTCCTCTCCTTCCGCTTCCGAATTAGTAGGTTGAAATTGTCGCTCACCCTTCTGCTTCGGTTCACAACAGTGCCCCGCGACTGGACGAAGGTAACCAACTACTGCAAGCGTCTCGGCATCATCGACTCCACTTTCGAGCCCAACATGACCAATAGCTTCCTCAGTTGGGACGTTGATGCTCAGGACAATGTCGATCCTGATGGTAAGCAGAAGGAGATTGCTGAGTACCAGGTCAAAGAGGCGCACAAGCTGCTTGCCTCTGCCACCCCTCGTGCTCTGCCTAGCTTCGGATGCAAGCATGCATGCGCCAACCCCAAGGCTGTCCAGGCTTCGGCCTAACTCTCTTCCAATAGTCTCTGCGCGGGTCACTGTCATTTGTGTCCTTCAGATCAAAGCAGCTAGTCAGTCGATCAATCAAACCATGGTCAGTCTCATCACAAGACAGCAGAGCATTTGAGCCTCAATTCGACGTGTGATCGACAGGAGATGATTTGCAAGGATAATGATAGAAATACATGAATGCGATGGGCGACGGACAAGAGCAAAGGACAACAACTCATCTGATGGAAGGGCCGAGCCCAGCCGGCATACCTCCCAGACCAAGTCCCATGCGGAGGAAGGAGCCGCCAACAATGTTGCCCGATCCACTAGCTGCGCCTGATACATGTTTGCTGTGAACCGAAGCGCCGATGCGATCCAGCTCCGAGTTCCACTTATTGAGCGCCTGGTAGCGTGGCTTACCCGAGCTGTTTGCACTGCGATCAAGTTCGACGTACTGCCCCACCTGATCAATCCGTGCCTTGATACTCTCGTCCAAGATGAGCGACATGAGCAAATCTTCGACTTGGTCGACGCCGATGTTGAGCTGTTGTGCTAAGTAGCCAAGCTGGATGCGAGAGTAAGGCTTGATTGTATCGATGAGATATTGCGTGCGCAGTCCTCGAAGTACGTCGTCAATGTAGGCTTTGATGAAAGAGTCTTCGAGGATGGTACGCTTGTTCTCGCGTAGGATTTTCTCGGCTTCATGGACCTCTCGGCGTTGGTAGGCTGCCACGAGATTGGTCATAGCCACTATTTCGGGGTCGTTCTTATATGGCTTGGTCTCTTGCGAGTCGAAAGGATTGATATCGCTTCCCATGAGCATGTGTGCCAGAACGAGGTACTTGAGCACTTGAATTCGCTGCGTACTTCCGGCCTCGTCGTAGTTGAGGAAAGCTTGGAAGAAGTCGACCTGTGCAGCTGCCCAGTTCTTTTCCGACATGTGCATCTTGCCACCACACTCACGGATGACGCCCATGATACGAGGATGTGGGATGGCACTCTTGACTTGCAGGGTGGAGTTGTAGACCTCCTTCAGCTTCTTGAAGTTGCCGACTTCTCCATACATTTGAATTTCGAGTGCAAAGATCTCGAGCAGGATGGTGCCCTTGGACTGGTCATCCGTGCCATCTTGACTTGTGCAATATGCCCGCAACTCCTTCAGTGATTTCGCCAATCGATTCCACTCTTTGCGAGCAAGCCAGAGTCGTGCTAGCTTGAGATCCGTCTTGACTGAGAGTCGCTCGTTCTTGGCGTGATCGAGCGCTGACTTGGTGACGTCGTAAAAGGACTGCATCGTCGAAAGGCCCACATCTGTAGCATTCGAGACGTAATCGAGGATGTTGTTGATGGACTTTTCCGAGTAGTTGCGCGTGACCGCGTTCTTGGTGTACGAGAGCAGCTCTGTATACGTTTCGAGCGCTTCTGCGTGACGTCCGCGGTGGAAGTAGATCTTGGTCTGCTGTTTCAACGCCTTGAAACTCCAATCGCCTTTCTCTTTCTCGGCTTCTACCACCGCCTTGAGCTCTCGTATCGCGCCGTCCGGATCTGTCTCCTTGATGCTTTTTGCATTGAAGTAGAGGTTCTCGATGTCGGCATCGGCATCATCGACTTCGTCGTCCTCCTCGTATTCGAAGTCGTAATCCTCGTCGGCCGCATCGTCCATGATGAATTCTTCGTCAGACATGTTTGCTGGGCTGGTGCGGAGACTTGCTGCCGCTTTGGCACAAGGTTGGATCTGCGGCGCTGCTGGTATTGCTTGCTAACGATACGAAGCTATCTTTGCGAAAGTGTATACGTTTGCAAAGTCGCTGATGGTGAGCTGAAACCAAGATTGCACGAGAAAGCTGAGATGTCAAGAGTGTCAAAAGATGAAACTGCGCATTCAAAAAGAGCATGTGGAGTGTGACCCGTGCGCGAATTAACCTAGTTGTCAGCTACCACGATATAACATTTGAAATCACCGAATGCGTGAAAATTCAGTTCGCGAACCTTTTTCCCCGCGTCTCGAAGCCCCAAACTTTGTAAAAGCAGGCAGAAGCACTGACAAGCAAAGTGTGGAGAGACGAAGACGAGATTTTCGGGTTCGGATGAAACAACACACAGATAAGTTACACCTTCGAAAAGTGGCCATTTTCAAAGATTCGCAGAGTACGCTAAAGCTTCGCTTTCAGCCTCAGCCATCGACTCACACCATCTCTTGTTCATGCGCAACCAACCGCCGGAAGTGAGCGGATAGCGACTTTTCTATCCTATCGTGGTTGGCGCTCATATGCCCGTTCCGCACCGCCAACCTCCTTGCTCCTGCTGCCATTCGATACGAGCTCAATCGCCCACCATGGGAGCCCAACGAAAGAGCAACCATCAGACTCAGGAAAACGCCGCGGCGGCGTCCGGTCCGTCTCACAATGCTGAAGGCGACTCCACAGGCTCAAAATCAAAGCCGCCTTCTGAAGCTCGCCTTCCATCGTTCAAGCGCGAGAAGGGCGTTTTGACTCGACAGCTTTGCGACTTGGGCTCATCACGTCGTCAAGATCGACATCTTGCTGACAAGACGGACATCCTCACATCAGAAGAGCACAAACTCGGCGACCTCAACGTCGTTGCTGCGTACAAGGCACACTTTCGCGAGTCGCCGTTCGAGTTCCTGCAGCAATTCGTAGCCTATGGCCAGGGAACCGGTTGGCGTGGCTACTCCAACTACATCGGTGCACCCATCCTGTACACTGGCTGTTCGGAGGAAAGCATTCGAACCGTCATCAACAGCGAACAAGTGCAAGAACGCATTCGCAAGCTCGCTTCCAGTCGTGTCGACCACCTTCTACCCGAGCAACCGCCCCTTCTGCCGACGGGTCCCACAAAGACGCAAAAGAACCTCGCCATCTTCAAGGAGCGCAAGAAGCGACAGATCGAAAAACAGCTCAGAGATGAAGCGCTCGCCATCTTGCAAGTCAGTGTCGCCCGCGTCGACTCGCTCTCTTTCCTCAAGTTCTTCGCCGCGACGGTCAACAACATTTTGGCTCGAATGTACCATCAGGGTATTCACATCAGTGTTCCGCAGGTGCTCGAACTTCGCAGAGTGGCTGCTTACGCCGCTGAGCGCAAGCAGAGCATCCTCTTCCTGCCCTGCCACAAGTCACACATCGACTACCTCACCGTCTCGTGGCTCATGTTCCGCCTCGGTATTGCGTTGCCCCACATCATTGCAGGAGAGAATCTCGATCTGCCCGTTCTGGGCGATGTCCTTCGCAAAGGTGGTGCGTTCTTCATTCGTCGAACCTTCTCCGGCGACCAACTCTACCCCGCCGTGATCAAGGAATACGTCGAGACCCTGTTGGCGAGTGGAAAGAACCTCGAGTGCTTCATCGAAGGCACGCGCTCCCGAACAGGTAAACTTCTGCCACCCAAGCTTGGTATTCTCAAGTACGTGGTCGAAGCGCTTCTCAACGGTCGAACAGACGATGTCTGGATCTGTCCTGTCAGCTTACAATACGACTCCGTCATCGAGTCAGAGACGTACGTTTCGGAGCTTCTTGGCAAGCCAAAAGAAGCTGAATCGCTGCTTGGCTTGCTGTCGGGGAGCTCGTCACTGCTCCAGCTCAAGATGGGTCGTATCGACATCCGCTTCGACGCGCCATGGTCGCTGCAAGGCTTCATCAAGGAACAGAAGGAGCGCAGAGCTGCGCCAGGCTACAAGGATGAAAAGGTAGAGCTCGAACTAGTCAACAACGACGTTCACAAGGTGCTGCTCCTCAAAGCTCTCGGCTATCGCGTCCTTGCCGACATCAACAAGGTCTCCGTCGTCATGCCAGCAGCCCTTATTGGTACTGTGATCCTCGCTCTGCGAGGACGAGGCGTTTCGCGAAGTGAGCTCATCCGCAGGGTCGATTGGTTGCGTCTGGCCATCGTCAACAAAGGCTTTACTGTGGCCGACTTTGGTATCATGAACACGGGCGAAGTTGTCGATCGAGCTCTCAGCACTGTCATGAAGGGTCTCATCGCCGAGGAGAAAGACGTCATGGAACCCACTTTCGTTCCCGTCAAACGCTTCGAGCTCAGCTTCTACCGCAACCAGGTCATTCACATCTTTGTTTCCGAGTCGCTCGCTGCAGCAGCTCTCTATACCAAGGTCAAGCAAGGTGGAACAGCACCGATGCAGAGAATGACAAGGAAGGACCTTTTGAGCGAATGTCTCTTCATCTCATCCGTGTTGCGCAACGAGTTCGTCTTTGGTGTCGACTCGCTCGAGATCAACGTCGATCGCACTGTCGACGGCATGGTTGCGGACGGCATCTTGGAGAAGCACCCCGACATCGAGCGCGAACAAGGCGGCTCGATCGAGTTGAGTGCTCGAGAGCGAGAGAACGGTCGAGAAAACTACGATCCCTTCCTCTTCCTCATCTGGCCTTTCATCGAAGGCTACTGGCTCGCAGCTGTCTCGCTTCTTTCGCTCATCCCGCAAGGCGCCGAGATGAAGGGCTACCCACAAAACAAGCTTCCCTGGTTTGCGGCCAAGGATTTCGAGAAGCACACTCAGCTGCTGGGCAAGACCTTGTACGCGCAGGGCGAGCTCTCGTATCTCGAGTCAATCAATGCAGCGACACTATCGCAGGCCTTCACGCGTATGGAGGAGATGGGCATGATCTTGCGCAAGAAGTCGTCGCATCAGAAGCCCGTGCCAATCATGGCGCTTCATCCCAACTTTTGGCTATCACAGACTTCCAAGCTTACCGACTACATCGACCACCTCTCACAATTCCGACGAGAGGGCAAGGACCGCCGAGAGCAGAATGTGGGTCGCAAGGTGCGCAAGTACACCTCGATGTACGCTCCATCTGTCATCGAAGAGTCTGACGTCAAGCAGCGACAGGCGCAGTTGTAGGCGGCGGTCACATTCTTTCGAGGCCAGCTTTGCTTCATCTATGTTTTTGTTCATTATTCCCTAGATACCACTGCTTTGTCCGAAACCAAGATGATTTTCGTCGTAAAGTCTGTTGTCAGACCAAGTTGCGTGTAGGAAGCGGGATATCTGAGTAGGACGTGAGTTCAATCAGAGCATGTATTATAGCAACGGCCTCTTCAACATCTGCCATGAGCCCTATTTTTGGGAGGCTTTTCGATGCCGGTTTTTTATATCCCAGTCACACTTGGCTCAGTCAGATCGGGCATGGGCACGGCTGAGAGGAGAAACAGAGAACAGGTTGCGGGGGTCGAGACGCGGGCTCAAGCTCGGTGGCTCCCGGCCCGCCAAGCCGGTCATCGAGGCGCCAGCGCAGCTGAGAGCGGTCTCGATGGGGTCGGGAGCCAGAGGACCGGGTTCAGGCCAGGCCTGGATCTCTCCAGGCAGGGCTGCTGGGAACCAGGGGGCCGTTGCGGACAGAGAAGAGGGCCGAAGCGACCAGAGCATGGCGCTCCTGAGCCGACCTGTCGATGTAGCGGCGGGAGCAGTCAGAGCTCCACCGGCCGAGTGACTGGATGTCGGCGGTGGAGGTGCCATGCTGCGACGCCCAGGTGGCTGCACCACGACGGAAAGAGTGGCTGGCATACTGCGACGCCGGGAGGCCGCAAGCCTGGATGGCACGGCGGAGGACGGTGACGAAGGTAGACCGGGGGAGAGGGTCAAGGCCAGAAGGGCCAAGGCCGAAGAGCAGCGCTGAAGGGGGGCGACCCTGGGAGAGGGGCCGGAGACGAGCGACTGGGCACTCGACACCACCCACCTCTGGGGCAACGACACGCACACCCTGCCGGAAAGGGTCGGTCTTGGAGGCAGGGAGGGTGAGCACAACATGGGCAGATGCCCACTCAATGGAGGAGACTGTGAGGATGGTAGCACGGTCCACGCCGCGGTCCCAGACCAGCTCGCCTGAGCGGAGGAAGCAGGCAAAGGCGAGGGCAAAGGCTGCCTGAAGGACGAGGCGGTCTCGGGGGAAGAGGTCGGCCATCTTCCCCACGGCGAGGAGGACCTGGCGGAGGAGCGGCAAGGTGATGGGGAGCTTAGTGCCCAAGTGGCCCACACCGTGCAAGCGCTTATAGCCGCGCAAGGCACGCTCGAGGCGGCCGCAGGAGAAACCCGAGGTGTCGAGGCCAAGGTCCATGTGGTGGGATCGGAGGGCTCCCAGCCCGTGCTTGGCCGAGTGGAAAGGGCGACCAAGGCTGGAGAGGTGGGCGAGCCACTCCAGCAGGTGGAGGCTCGTGGCTGGGAAACAGGAAGTGCCGAACCCGAAGTGTTGGAGGCAGAAGGACTGGAAGGACGAGGGGGTGCCCCCGGCACGGCGGCGGGTGCTGGCGGCAAGGCCGTGCCACAGGAGGTTGGCAGCACGGGCGGAGACGCCAAGGCTGGAGGCGACGCCAGGCGGTGGACCTGCAGAGCTGGTGCGCATGCCGGGTGGGAGAATAGCGCATCGTGCGCGCGAGGGAACAGCTGCTGGATACGGAGGAAGTGACGGCGGGAAAGGAGGTCAGCCAGGACATTGTCAGTAGAAGAGACTCACTGTGGCCGGATGGTGAGGTCGTGCTTGAGGCAGAGGCCGAAGATTTCCCGCAGGAGACGTTGGGTGAGCGGGTCACGGGAACGTCCCGAGCGGAGGCCATGCTCGACATTCTCGTTGTCGACATGCACCACCACGAGGGTGGGACCCGACCAAAGAGGAAGGAAGCATCGTAGAGCTTCAAGGACAGCGAGAGCTTCCAGGAAGCGGATGTTCTTCCTGCGATGGCGACGAGGGACAATCTTGGCAAAGACAGCAGTGGGAGAGGTGTCGAGCCCAAGATAGCCGCCGTAACCCTTCGGGCAAGCATCGGTCCAGATGTGTGCTGCCGTGAGCGGCGAGGGGGAGAGGACGCTGGTGCCAGACCAACGCTCGAGGATGTTGCACCACCAGAGGAGCTCCAAGCGAGCCAGCCGGGTCAGGTGATGTTTGCCGGGGAGAGCACGGCGAGTGGTGTCATAGAGGCGGCGAAGGAAGGCTTTTCCGCATGGGAAGACCTGAGACACGAACTGTAGGAGGCCGGCAATCCATTGCATGTCGAGCAGGTCCACGGAATGGTGCTGCAGGAGGCTGTGGCATTGCGCCAAGATGTGGTGGCGTCGGTCGTCAGTGATGCCAACGGTCTGGGCAACTGTGTCAATTTCGATGCCCAGGACTTCGAGCCTGGTGGAGGTGCCAAAGGTCTTTTTGGGTGAGAGCCGAAGGCCCAGGGCATTCGCTGCCAGGGCGAGGATGTGTATGGGTAGGAGGGCATGGGTGGTGTGCGAAACTGGGACAGCGCCGAAGGTGTCGTCCAGGTAATGATTGACAGGCCAGTCAGCGGGGAGGCAAGCTGCGACGAGCCAGTGGAGGAACTCGGCGACCAGGTTGAAGAGCCATGGGGAGCTGCTGCCCCCGAAGGTCAGCGCGTTCTCGCGATAGCGGACGCCGTTGTAGCTGAAGCCGAGGAGGTGCGAATCACGCTCAGCTGTCACCACGTGCCGGAAAGCGTCCTCCAGGTCGCCTTTCCAGAGGAGGCAGCCCGGGTTCCGGCTGACAAAGGCCAGGAGGTCCTGCAGGCCTTCGTACCGGATCCGAATGAAGCCTGGGGAGATACCGGCATTGACGGAGGGAAGAGTGGCAGCCGTCGGGCGGCGGGGGTGAGACAGGTGGTGGATGGTGCGCAGCTTGGTTGAGCGGGGTTTGGGCACCACCCCAATAGGTGACTCAACAAGGTTGGTGCTGGCTGGTATGATGGAGAGGCGACCCTCGGCCAAGCGTGCAGCAATTTCCTTCTGAAGGTGACTGTGACCGACTGATGAGATGGGAAGATTGTCGCTGCGGCGGTCGGCATTGCGCAGCGGCCCGTCGTAACCAAGTAGGCAGCCGTGCTCAATCATGCCGAGGAGCTGGCGATGGTAGATGGGATCTGGGTAGAGATTGAGAAGGGTGGACCACGCAAAGGCACACTCTTGCATGGAGCTGTGCCTTGCGGGCTGCAAGGCTGGGTCAAAGACGGCATCAGCGAAGGAGGTGTTGGGGCGCAGTCCTGGGTTGTGTGACCACGCATTGAGAAGGAGAGAGAGGCACCGGTCAGCTGATGGGACATCGAGGGCTGACAGGACCGAGTTGAAGAGCCGTGCCAAGCCCTGCAGCGGAGGGGTTCTTGTCTTGCCTAAACCCACCGGTAAGGCGACAGGCCGTGCCGAGCCCTGCAGCGGAGGGGTTCCAAAGACGGGCGTACCCGCAGAGTCACCAAAGAGCTGGGCCAAGCCCTGCAGCAGAGGGGTGCTGAGATCGGGAGGTCCCGCAGGACCATCAATGTGCCGTGCCGAGCCCTGCAGCGGAGGGGGTCTTTTTGCAGGCTTTAGGTCAGGAGCCGTGTGGGAAAGGGGTGTGGGACTCACCAGGCCATCAAGCCCTGTTGGGCACCTTGGCATCGCCGCTTGGGCGGAGTCGTGGGCAGTCCTTGACGCTGTGGTGGCCGGCGCAACCACTACATTCGTGTTGCCGCCAGCACGCATCACCCTCGGGGCAGCCACCGCCATTGTACCGGAAGCACACCTCGAGGCCCTTCTGGCGCTTGGAGGGTGGCCCATTCGGCTGGGTGTCGGCTTGGCGATTGGTGCCGCCTGGTGTGGAGGACTTGGGGAGAGGGCGGAAGGAGGTGGCAGTGCTGAGGTGCTGGTTCCACGCGGCCTGGTCTTGCTGGGCCCACAAGGCTGCGGAGGCATGGCCAAAGCGTCGTCGGCAGGTGGCAAGGACATAGGAGGCAACCGACAACCACATGTGCATCCAGTCGGTCTGGATGACGTGAAGGAGGAAGGCTCCTAGGCCAGCACCGAGGTTGGGGTCGTTGGTGGCGCAGGCTCAGATGCAAGTGTAGACAGTCCAGGCCTCGGCGAAGCAGCGGACGTCGGGAATGAGCTTGGTGAAGTGGCGGGTGGAGGAGGTAGAATCCGTGGATGGGACAGACTTGATGAGGACGCCATTGACCAGGACAGCGTGCTCGTGCTCGTCATCGACTGGAAGCGAGTCAGGGTTGCGCAGTCTGCCCAGGTCCTGTGGTGGAAGAGTGTTGTCGATGACCTGCTGGACAACTTCCCGCGAGAGCCAGGAGAAAATGCGGTCCATGTCGGACTCACCTGGGAGGGGTGCACCGAGCGCAGACCCGGGAAGCGTGGCGGAGGCGAGCGTTTCAGCTACTGGCGGAGGGAGCTGAGGCTCGGGGTTGCGCGACGAGGTAAGGAGTTGCTGGAGGGAGGCGGCAATGTCGGAGAGGGCAGATGTCTGGTCGTCGAGCTGCTGCTGCAGGCCGCGAAATGCAGGAGAATCCTCGGTGAGGAAGGTCGTCGGGGGGAGAGGAGGTGTTGGGTTGGGAGCCGAGGCGGCCGTCGCGGCAGTGATGGGGGCAGAGGCTAGGGTAGCAGCTGCCTGCAAGACTTGTGCGAAGTGCCTTCAGTCCTTCCCCCTCGACCACTTCCTCGGGCGCCGCAACCGTGCCTGTTGCAATTGCGCTTCTTTCCGAGGTGTGCCTCCTACCAGTCTCACCTCGCCTCTCTCCCTCCCCTCCTCCCTCCCGCTTCCAGCCTCCACCCTCTCTCTTGCCGAGCCCGGCGCCATGCTTGACGAGGGACGAGGACGGGTGAACAAAAGCACCTGTGGTGAGGGGCACGAGGCAGCAGGTTGATGATGGAGGAGAGGAAGAAGGAGCTGAGCTGGCTGAGCAAGCTGACTCAGACACGCACGCAACAAAGTCACGTGCTGCACGTGCATTTCTTTTCCGGCAACCACAACGGCAGCTCGGACGGTGTTGTTTCCGGCTTTGAGAAGCTTTGGTCAATGCACATACACATACCTTTTTTGACCGCACGACATCCTTCGTCAAGCCGGCGGGAGACATCAGGCACTTGCCATCAGCTCTCCACGATCCCTTTCATCTCGCTCAGCATCTTCTCACGCATCGAGGCAAGCCTTTCGCCCTCGATCGACTTTAGTCAGCTTCATCAAACTGTCGGCGCACGTCCTGTTTAAGCTCGTCTCTGCTGCCTCTCTCCGGCTCAGCAAGGTTAGTATCGCTTCTCGTTCCTCCTCCACCATGAGCACTGCTGCTACCTCCACCGCTGGCTCGGCCAGTGCCGCCGCTGCCAATGACAAGAGCGGAAAGCACGATGACATGGCCGCTGCTCGTCGCTTCCTCGAATACGTCGATGCCAGCCCCACTCCCTTCCACGCTGTAGCCACCACCTCGGCCATGCTCGATGCAGCCGGATTCGAGCGAGTCAAGGAGAACGAGCTTTGGGACAACAAGGTCAAGCGAGGCGGCAAGTACTACTTCACTCGCAACCAGTCTGCTATTGTTGCTTTTGCTGTCGGTGCCAAGTACGAGCCTGGCAACGGTGTTCACATCGTCGGTGCCCACACTGACTCGCCCAACTTCCAGATCAAGCCTGTTTCGCGCAAGGCCAAGGAAGGGTACCTCCAGTGCGGTGTCGAAACCTACGGTGGCGGTATCTGGGCTTCGTGGTTTGACCGTGATCTTGGTGTTGCAGGTCGCGTCATTGTGTCTGACTCCAAGAAGCATGATGCCTTCACTGGTAAGCTTGTTCACATCAAGCGACCCATCCTCCGAATTCCCACCCTTGCTATTCACCTCAACCGCACGGTCAACGAAGCTTTCAAGTTCAACGTTGAGGACAACACCGTGCCCATTCTCGGTCTTGCAACTGAGCAGCTCAACAAGCGCGCTGATGAGGCTGCCAAGGTGACACCACAGGCAGTTGGATCTCCCGTCATGGCCGAGAAGCACCACCCTGTCCTTCTTGACTTGCTCGCTGCGGAGCTCGGCATCTCTGTCGAACAGATCCAGGACTTTGAGCTGAGCCTTTACGACACACAGCCTGCCTCGATCGGTGGCATCAACAACGAGTTCATCCACTCGCCAAGGCTCGACAATCAGATGTCCTGCTTCTGCGCTACAGAGGCTCTCATCGACTCGCTTTCATCCGCCGACTCGCTCAACGTTTCTTCGTCGATTCGTGCCATCGCTCTTTTCGACAATGAGGAGGTCGGATCCGTCTCTACACACGGTGCAGAGTCCAACATGCTCCCCAGTCTCATTCAGCGACTTGTGGCTCTTCCGGTCTCGTCCTCGTCGGTATCGACACCTGCTGCTTCCAACGTCTACGAGCAGGCCATCGCTCGCTCCTTCCTGCTCTCCTCGGACATGGCCCACGGATTCCACCCCAACTATCCTTCCTACTACGAGGAGAACCACCGACCCAAGATCAACCAGGGTCCCGTCATCAAGACCAACGTCAAGCAGAGGTATGCCACCACTGGTCCCACTGCTTTCCTCATTCGACGCATTGCTCAGCGTGCCCAGGTTCCGCTCCAGTCGTTCGTCGTTAAGAACGACATGCCCTGTGGCTCCACCATCGGTCCTATGTTAAGCAAGCTCGGCATCCGAACGCTCGACCTTGGCAACCCTCAGCTGTCCATGCACTCGATCCGCGAGACCTGTGGTACCAAAGACGTCGAGTACAAGATCCAGCTTTTCAAACACTTTTTCGACTCCTTTGAGCAGGTCGATGCTCAGCTCACCATCGATTGAGCGCTTCAAAGATGGATCCGTATGAAACACATCAGCAATCAAAGGAGAGCTTTATATCAAGAGATGAGACTTGTAGTAGTGGTAGCAGTGTGGCGTAATGGTCATCACACGTTTTAGTTGATGCTGCCATCGATGGTATTCATTGAAGATGCAATGACAAGTTCTTGCGAAAATCATGCGAGAATTGAGTTGAGCATCGATGCTTCCTCCTCATTCAAGTGTGGCGAGAGATGCGACTGGAACTCCGATCGTCCAGCAGCCCGTGCCAAGTGTTGCAGATACTGCGATAACCAGCTCTGTAGAAGGTAGACGACGTTGAAAGAGAGAATCGGAAGCAATGTTTTGAGTCAGTGAGTCTGTGCTTGGAATACGTTGCGCTTAGTGCAAGCAACTTACCTTGAGGTCCATGTTGTATACTGGATCCGACTTCAAGTCTTCATCGTCTTCGAGCCCGAAGTCATCGTCGTTCTGCAGAGCACCTAGACCGCCAGGGCCAAGCATATCTGACAGGAATGCAAAATCGTCCTTGCCCTGTGCGCGCGGATCGTATTCGTCATCCCATTCGCCATTCTCGTCGTCTGTCTCGGGCGTGCGTGCTCCGTCTTCCCTATTCCCACCAGCAACGCCGCCCCCAGCTCGAGAAGCTGAGCTCCATTCTTTGAGCAGCACCTTGACGATCTTGGCAAACATCGGAACACTGCTGTACTGGTGAGGCATCGTCTTTGCGCGCGAGCGTGTTCGAATGATGCCAGAGTTGTCTGGTAGAATGTCGCCTCGGACGTTAGTGGCCGTTAGGAAGGGTCGTCGGCTATCGAGAACCTTAGCCAGGGCGAGGGCACTGACGCGTTGCGCCCAGAAGCCTTGGAAGGTCTCGACGTTATCCACCCATTTTTTGCACAACACTTCGAGCCCGTTGCCGCTTTCTGCTGCGGCATTCTCTGCTGATGGTGCGACCTGAACGGTTTCGAGAAGATCCATAATTTGCTTGGCCTGCTCATGATTGTCGTGCAAAAGATATGCGACAGGAACGATGAGCGACTGCGAGAAAGTTGCTGTCTGCGCTGTAGCAAGACGCTGCACCATAGCATTGAGCAGTTGAGGCAGAACGTGCGCTATGCGGTCGCCAGCCTTCCTCAAGAGCGCAACGACGAGATCGCCAACTGCAAGGCCGCCGCTTTCAGAGTCATTCGTCGGCACCAGCAATTTGGCGATGATCTGAAGCATCAGATCGACTGCAGCTGATTGCGTCCTTGGATCTTTCCAGTCCACCAGCTCCTGAGTGCACTTTTTGACGAATACAGTCAAGCATTCAATCCCATTCTGTAGCACGTCGCGGTCCTCGCTAACGGAGAGAACCCTAAAGAGGTTTGGACACAGGAAGTTGACAGCCCCGCGGAGAGCTGCGGGGTTTGCGCCATCCAGCACACTCTTGGCGAGCTCCACAGCGGTCTCTGCAATCGCCGAAGGCTCTCCGTCTGTGGAAGTATCGGCTTGTTCTGGCAAGCTCAAGCCGATGGCAGCTGCCAAGAAAGGCAGACTTTGCTCAACAATGACCTGAGGTACTCCTGTTTGCTTTGACCCGGCTAACAACCCTAACAGGTCCGAGATGACGGAGAGCAGGACGATGTCTTTGGCGTTTGGTGCCCAGATTTGAAGAGCTGCTCTGACGATCTCGCCAATGATGGCCGGCTCGACCAGCCCTGTTGTTGTTGCTTCGCCACTCTCTGTCTCTTCAACAACAACCGCCTGAATAGTCTCGATGATGAGTATAAGCGTGTCCTCGGAGGCTTGTGTAAGCAAGGGCCCGAGCTTCTGCACGATGCGAGGTGCCAAAGGACCCACGATGCTGGAGGGCAAATGTCGGTAGAAGTTCTTGACGGTGCGCACCGCCGAGATCTTGACAGGAAGCGAGGCACTGTCGGACTCGATGGCATTGATTGCAGAGTCGAGGAACTGGACGGCAAGCTCAGAAGGAAGGGCAGTGGCAAACTGAGAGGCAAAGACAAAGCCACGACCTTGCAAGAAAGGGGGGGCATCGTTGCTAACATTGGGCAGAACGACGGTGGCAAAGATGCATTCAAGATCAAGAGCCTGCTTGGCTTCGGGCTGAGTCTCGGTGATCTCGCTTATGGCGTCAGCATTGCTTCCGACCGCAGTCAAGACTCCCTCATGAACCTTCCACCAGTCTTGATCGCCGTTGACTTTGTCATTGTTGGCCTGCTGAACGAGCTGATGGAATTGCTGACCAATGGAGCGGAGCGCAGGGATAGGGAAGTCTTCGATGAGCATGCCGAGCAAGTCGGCAGCAGCGATTCGCAAGCTGTATGCGAACGTCTCGTCATCTTCGTCGGCAATAAATGCATTGGCATCGGTGGCCCAGTTCTCCTCGTCCTCGACGGTCATGTCAATGTAGACAAGCAATAAGCTGATCAGCTGTCGAAGCAAGTCAGTCTCCTGGCCACGGCCACCTGTGCCTCCACTGATGAAGAGGTCGCGGCACCGGTCACCGCGCGAAGCTTCGTTGATGAAGTCGAAGATGTAGCATGCCAACGTTGGAATGTCGCAAGCAACATCGTCGTCGCCTTCTTCGGACGATGGTGCATCGAGTTCGGAAGAGTTGGAAAGGTATAACTGTCGGAAAGGCGGCAAGAGTGAGACGAGGTTTGCTATCGAGGACTGGATGAATGTGTGCAGGTGGGACTTGAATTGTGCACGGAACATGGCGGCGACTTTGAGCGCCTTGAAGATCTCGTTGCGGAGTGCAAGCGTACCCCATCCCTGTTGCAGGCCTGAGCCAAGTTGCTGTGCAGCATCCCGCTCAAGCAAAGACTGCATCAGGGTAAGCCAGCGGGGAAGCATAGTCTGAGATGCCTGCTTGACCACGTCCGGGTAAGTCTCCCTGACCATGAAGAGAGTTGTCAGGCATTGGCGAAAGACGAGAACGCATCTGGCTCGAATGTATGCATTGTGGCGCTCCTCTTGCACCAAGGCCTGTTCCAGAGCTGGCAAGATCTCCTTCGCGACCTGAATGAGCTGAATCTCGTCCATCTCGACACGGACAAACTCGGACAAGAGTGCCATGGCGCCGTGCAAACCGTTCGGCTCTCCTTGTTGCAGAAGCTGTTGGATGTAAGGGAGGAGATCTGGGTACTCGTCGGGGTAGTCAGGTCCTGCGATGGTGGAGATGGCATATGATGTAGCTAGTCGGATCTTGCGAACAGGATCCGACAGTCCGCTGAGCAAAGCTACTCGGACCTGCTGTTTGACTGACACGTCGACGGCAGCACCCAGGAAGCCGTCGAAGTAGGGTGACCATCGTGCTGTGATGTACTTGCGAAGAGCAATACCGGAGGATTGTCGTATATGGATGGGAGAAGACGGGTCCAGCAACACCTTGGTGAACCCTAGTCCGGCTTGACCTTGAGGGTCGTGTTCGGGGGAGCGGAAGGATTCTAGTTGGGATTCGGCTTGTGTCCTGATCGCAGCATCCGCAGACAGCGTTGCTTCAAGACATGCTGCCAGCTGTTGCTCCATCGTTGTTCCACCACTCGCTAATTGATATCAGGTCTAAGGGTAAGTACAGTGATGATAGCTTGCGAAGTGTTGTTGATCTTGGTCACAACTCGCCTCATAATTCTTCTCTTGCAGCTTCAGCACACGTTCGTTCTCAGTGAAACACTTTTTCCTCCGCTTCGCAAATAAGCGTGTCCGAGTTCCGACGTGATCCGCTTTAGTCAACGGTGAGTTATAGTTGAAGAGTGTGCATCAGAAATCGAGGATCACAGGTGTCGATTGAGTTGAAGTATATGCTAAATGTCAGAGGTCATGCACCTGAAACCTGAGATCGGTAGTTGTAACAATACTATTACTGATTCTGTCGAGTTAAGTGACAGCACTTGTGGTATTGTGATTCTTCACAAGATATGCAGTAGAGCCATCTCTATTACTTTTCTTGTTTGAATCTGTAGTTGTGATGATGCTATTGCAGATTTTGACTGACCACTGTTGGACACTCCATCCAGAGGTAGCTCAGCACAATCAATAACTATGTGAACTTGCTGATGACACCAAAGGTCTGGTGTGAATATGGATTGGTGGCATCGACACGAGTGTCCAGTGTGTCAACTATGCTTGAGGTGATCCCCAGACCACAGTGGACGACTGCCTTTGGTTCTATTGATATCTGGACCACTGGTTTGCTAAGAACCACCTTCGGACATCAGGAAACAGTTAGGGTTAGGTTAGGGTTAGGGTTAGGGTTAGGGTTAGGGTTAGGGTTAGGGTTAGGGTTAGGGTTAGGGTTAGGGTTAGGGTTAGGGTTAGGGTTAGGGTTAGGGTTAGGGTTAGGGTTAGGGTTAGGGTTAGGGT